TAAATATATCTGTATAAAATTGTATAATATTTAGACCTATAAATTAATATTTATACCAATTATAGTGAGGGTTGTTTCGAAATGCATTCTGCTGGAATTTTGGGAGAAGAATCTATCCGAATCTTGTGAGATTTATTTGATGCTGTTAGATTGATTTTTGAGAAAAACTTAAAGAATAAAAGTTGTTTTTCTATGTGTTTACTAGCTCTCTATAAAATTTCATAATTTTTTGATATATATAGAAAGAGTTATGCACATTTTAGTATAGATGGGTTAGGAGGAAACACTGCTGGAATTTTGGGGGGAAAAGAAATTCTGAATTTTTAAAAATGGAAATTTCCGAATTTTTATGAAATAAAGTAGTTTTAGTTACTTGAATTAAGTTAATTAATGATTTTAATTAGTCTAAATTTTATATAGACACCTAAGTAAATGCAATAAATGAATTTAATGCCAACTCACCCATTATGGATTCCAAAGCGACTGACTTTCCTCATGACTCACCCATAAACTTTACACCTTATCCCATTAATTTCTAATACTTGTAGCTGAATGAAAGTAAGTGTATATATATATATATATATATAGCAAGTGTTAAAATAGGAGAAAAACTTTAGTAACCGGTAGGTACCGGAAATTGAGAGAGAAAAGGCAAGAAAGAAAAGAGAGGAAGAAAAACGTGAGGAGAGAAAGGAAAGGAAAGAAAAAGAGGAAGGGAAAAAGGAAAGAAAAAGAGCTAAGAAAACTATAATCAAACCTAAAAGAGGTAAGTAGGTTTCATTTTTTGGCTGATTAATGTCTTAAATTATTTTTTTAAGTTATTTTGTTAGTGTTTATTTCATGGGTTGTAATAATTTTCAATGGTTATATGCTTGATGCTTGGGATAAATCTATGTATGGATGCCTTGTTGTGATGATTTATGATGTTATGATTTTTTGAAAAATGTCCAAGTATGTGGTGATGAGTTGGATTGAACTTGGACTAAATTTAAGTGAACTAAAACATGTTTAAAATTGGCTTGGAATGAACTAATAAATTAGTGTTGATAAGGACTAAATTCTGTTCAAATTTTGGGGTGTATGTTCAAGGATTTTAGATCGATTTCTAGGTGAAACTTAAAGAATAAAAGTTGTTCATATATGTTTCAACTAACTTTCTTTAAAATTTCGTGGTCATTGGATTCGTATACATACAAAGAGTTACACCCGATTTAGTTTGGATAGCTCTAGATAAACTACTATTAGGCAGATTGCTCCCTAAGTTTCAAAAATCTGTAATTAATTGTGTACTTGGTATTTAGACCTAATTTTTGAATATGTTATAAATAAATATGTCTATTATTTAAAATAAAATGAGTAAGATTTAATTATGTTCTGAAATTAGAAAATTATTTACTCGATTAGGAGTTGCCCGGTAATAAACCCTAAAACCAAAAAATTAGACTTTGACAAAATTAATAGGTTTGGAATAAACTAAATGAGCTTGGACTAAATAAAATGGAATTAAATAGAGTCAATGGACCTAGGATAAAGTTAATGGGCTCGGATTAAAGTAAATGGACTCGGACCTTCTTTTAAATATTAATGAAACTAACGAACAATATTAATGAGCGGAGATTGTGTTCCCGTCTGTGGGTATCGTGATTGGTATGTGAGCAATGGATAAATTCCGAGTGTGGGTTGGACCATGAGTATGGCATGAGAATGAAGGGTTGGTACCCGAAATTGATTGAATGTGATTAAATATGTCATCACGTGCATCATGTGCATAGTGGGTGGTTTAAGATAAGTCAATTGATTGGGAAATGATTTATACATCTAGGTTTGATAACCTAACTTGAATAAATGAGTATTAGTAGTCCGAGTACTCTAGGATGTGTGCCCGCACTATTAGACGATGGATTTTCGCTAATAGTAGTTACAACGAAGGATAATTCCGTTGTAGCGAGAAGATGATCGGAGGATCATCTTGATGAAATCACATTGTGTGCTTACACTCGTTAGATGATGGATTCCCGCTAACAGTAGTTACAACGAGGGATAATTCCGTTGTAGCAGAAGGTGATCTACGGACCACCCGGATGATAAATAGAGTAGATCGGCTAATACTCGGGGTACCCGAGATTAAAATTTATGAGTATGGTGGGAAATCAAAACAACATTGCATATCACATGCATCACCACGCTTACCGAGCTTCGGCTCACCTCGTTGTTATTTTTTTATGTCTTGACGAGAAAAAGAACAAGTTAGTACGGATGCGGCCGGCTCCTCCTAATTGGCTCATGTGAGACACCATATATTAGTTTTTATTTTGTCCGTAAATTTGAGGTATGGAGTTCGTGAGAAATTGAATATCGCCTGTAATGTTTTATTAATGTATTTAATTATGTTATGTAAATTTTATCTTAAAGAGTTATATACGTAAGGATATCATAAGAACACTACTTAGAGTTCAAGGTATGTCGGTGTAATGCGCTTCGTCCGAGTACTCTACTTGGATAGTAGAAATATGATTGGGGCGGGTGCGTTACACTTCTAATACGATCCCGATTGATTTATCCGTGCATACTTAATAATAAAAAATATTGATAAAATCTCTAGTATGTGACAAGGTTTCAACATAAATAAAAGAAATGATGGAAGGGTAAATAATTGTGAAAATTGTAATATTTAATTTTATTGGTCGCCAAAAACCAAAATTCAATATTGATTTTGAAGGGTAAATATTTTGATTGAACAACACTTACTAATAAGAACACGTCAATTTCAACTTTTCAATTAGAATCCAATTCAAACTCGAAGTAAAGAAAAACTTAAGAAATATTATAGGAAAGAATGCAAAATAAAAACGCATGGTGTAAAAAAAAAAAGAATTCATCAATAAGAGAAATTGCTCATTTCTTTTGTTTATTTTAAAATTTTGTGTTTTTTTTTAATGGGTAATAGATGGGTATCAATAGGATAAAAAAAGAGTATTCATATTCATGGATAAATTGTTTATTAACATAAATGAGTAATACTATTTTATCCATATTTAACCCATTACTCATTAGGGTATTTTAAAAACGTAATTAATGGACGGGTTGGGCAAGGTACCTATTTTATATTCGGTCCACTACCATTTCTAACTCTTGGCGATGAGGTCCGACTATCGGTTCAATATGATATCATAAATAAATAAAAAATTAATTTGATTTAGAAACAAACTTGGAAGTTGACTAAGAAATAATTTGGCAAAAATAAAAATTTTAGGAGATAATCTTTTAGTATTAAAATAGACATTGTACCTTTCTTGGAAAAAAATATTTTTGGATGATTGATATATTTTCAAAGACATAACCAACTCATTACCTTATAATTTTTAAATCAGTGTCATTTTTAGGTTTTTTTAGTTTCCTTCAATATTAGATGACGATCTTAAAACGTGATTTAACTCACATCCCTACTAGATAATCAAAAATAAAATAAACAATAATAAAATAATTCTAATAATTTTTTAAAAGTTTATTAAATATCGGGTGGTGATAAACACAAAAGCTTGATTCTATGCTGGGTCTAACAAATATTTAATATTTAATTCTGTCGAACTCAACAAAATTCAAAACTATATATTTATTATTCTACTGATGCCATCTCTGGATTTTTCTTGCGTTGGATTGATTTGTTTTATGTTGCTCCAATTTCTCATTTGTAATTGTTTTGGATGGATTATGGATCGAATATTAAATTTTTGTTTTTTTTTTTTAATTCTTTACACACGACAATAGAAAAGTTCAAACTCAAGATCTCCTTTTTTTTTTTTTTCCAGAACAATTATATGTAGGTATATTTTGGGTATTTTTTAAGATTAAAAGAAAAAGACATCAAACTTTAAAATCACTCACTTTTAGGGTGTCAGTCACCCATCCACAATGCAAAACAAAGAGGTTTATGATATCGGAGAAGATGAGAGGAATTTACGGTCGGACCATTTTGAAGTAGAACCATGAATGCACATCAAAGTTGAGCAAGACAACATAATTCCAATCGGGGATGCACCAACAGCGACCTCATCCCTTGAGATGTTGTGTTGTACTAATATTTTTCTGTTAGCATATACCATTTTTGAGCTGGGTCAGGTCTTTGCTGGGCCTATGTTCGTATCGGCCTAAGGAACCTATTTAGCTGGAGGATACATCTCCCGCCGCGGCTTTCATGCATTCCTTTCCTTCTCGGTTTCTCAGTTTCTCAGAACACGCACTTTCATATTAAATATTATTTTCATATCTTCATGTGAGGTCCAAATACTATTAATTTCTTATGTTCATTAAAAAAAGTTATTTTTTTAGTAAAGAAATAACTATAAAAAACACTATCACAAAGAAAACCCTAGTGGAATTGATCACGAGCAGTATGACAAAATAAAATACTCCATTTTCACTAAAAGAAAAGAAAAAATCTCACAATCCACCACTATAGCGAAGAAATGTTAAATTAAAATAATTATTCATGTGAATACAGAGGCTAAAAAAGTGACCCTCCCAAAATTTTTAAATTTAAAATTGCACTCTACTATTTAAAGTGATTTCGATTAGGTCCTTATAAAAATTTTATTTATCACACTTGTTGCCCATTTTTTTCATTCCCTTTTTTGGTTTTTTGTTTTTTTTTTGGTCCTCTTACGTTTCTCACATGGACCCGTGACCCTACGGGTAGATAAATTGGGTGGATATGAATAAACATTTTGCCAAAAACAAGCCGGGTCCAACCAACGGTAAACCTCGCTTAACAGTGAAAAACTCAAACTCAAGACTAAAGAGCACAAAACCCTAAACCCTACTAATAACTAGAAGCTGCCGTGCTGCTTCTAGAGCCTTCTCTTCTTCTACAAAAAGCACACACTCTCCGCTCAGCCTCCGCTCGCATTTTATCTCTGTCTCTACCATTTCGTCGAAACTTTCTCTTTAATCCCACAAAGTTTCTCTGTTTCTCCTCTCTTGTATTTTTTGTTAACACTACTATGCACCGGTTCGCTTCAAGCCTCGCTTCCAAAGCTCGGTACTTTCCTCTTTCTGCTTCATTATTTTTCACCTTTTATTTACATTTTGATTTTCATTATTTTCATCCCTTTTAATATCGTTGCTGAGAAAGACGGACAAAAATAAAAAATCGAAGATTGGAAATTGATGGATATTATTGATCAGAGTAGTAGTTTATTAGCTAAGTGGAGCTAAAACCAATCCATTAAGAACTTTTTTTGAAAATGGATTTTCTTTTTATTTACATTGTAAACAACCAAATAAAGATTCAATTTTGTGATTTCTCTTGCTTCATATTGATGGGCTTTGCCTTTTGTGGGTTTTACAGGATTGCTAGGAGCAGCACCAATCATGTGAGTGCTGGTGCTATTATTACTTTGGTTTCCAGATTTTACATCATCATATTCGATCTGATTCTGGTTGTGCTGTTGCAATTCCTTTAACTTCTTTCTCTGAAAAGCAATTCGTTTGTGTGTTTATGTCAGATTGGAAGTAGGTTGAGTTGGAGCAGAAACTATGCTGCCAAAGACATAAGATTTGGCGTGGAGGCTCGTGCTGTGATGCTTAAGGGTGTTGAAGAGCTAGCTGATGCTGTCAAAGTCACCATGGGCCCTAAGGTACTGCGACCATTTGTCTGTTTGATGCCCTTGAATTCAATCTTAAGAGTTTAATTTTTCGGTCAAATAAAGAAGAGTGAAATTTGAATGTTTCTTGTAGCAGAATATGGTGTTGTTAAACGTTTTCATCAATTGAAACTTTATCTAGTTTTTAATGGCAACACTGCTACACTGCAATGGGAAATATGGTTTTCCTTGGTGTAGAAGCTAGTGTTGCAGTAGCTTAATAGATCACCGATGGGGCTTTTCTGTATGTTTTGTTCATAGGATATCCAAGATAAGTGGGAGCGTTTTTTCTGCTCTTGCAGCATGATGAATCTCAACACATTTAGTTTCTTTGGTGGATCTTAGTTATATTTTCAAAACTGTCTCTGAACGATGAAATGAGCTGGCTTGTTGACTGATTAGTAAATAATGATTGTTATTCTTGGTAATTTGTGGTTTGCAGGGTCGCACTGTGGTTATTGAACAAAGCTTCGGTGCCCCTAAAGTGACAAAGGATGGTGTGACTGTTGCAAAGAGCATTGAATTCAAGGATAAAGTTAAGAATGTTGGTGCTAGCCTCGTGAAGCAGGTTGCAAATGCCACCAATGACGTTGCAGGCGATGGTAAGGTTTCGTCCCTTTAACAGAGATCTAAATCCAGTGTTTTTGTTTGCCTTTTTTTTTCTTTCTATTTTTTGATATTGCACTGCATGTTTTTGCTTCTTTGTTGGTTCCGTCTTACTGAGCAATGAGAGCTTTTTCAATGCATTTTCAGGGACCACTTGTGCTACAGTCCTCACTCGAGCCATATTTACTGAAGGATGTAAGTCAGTTGCAGCAGGAATGAATGCAATGGACCTAAGACGTGGTATCAGCATGGCTGTTGACTCGGTTGTTACCAATTTGAAGAGCAGAGCAAGAATGATCAGTACATCCGAAGAAATTGCACAAGTTGGTACAATATCAGCAAATGGGGAGAGAGAAATTGGTGAGTTGATCGCAAAGGCCATGGAGAAGGTTGGCAAAGAGGGAGTTATAACAATTCAAGTAAGTTGTGCATTATATTGATACATTTTTTCTGTGTTATGTTACTAATACATCTCTCCATCGTCTCTCGCTATTCTTCAAGTGTCTGAGTACTGGCTTTCTTGACACTTGCAGTGAGATGCTAATGGCTACTTATCTAATTCCATTAATCATTCTCTCATGTTTTAATTTTTTCACCCCGGAATATGCATTTGTTCTTATTCAATGTCAAACTGTTGCAGGATGGGAAAACATTATCTAATGAGTTGGAAGTTGTTGAGGGGATGAAGCTTGACAGGGGCTATATATCCCCTTATTTCATTACAGACCAGAAAACCCAAAAATGTGTAAGTCTTCACTGCTGTCTCCAATCATGACATGCCCTGAGACCTAGGTGTGTCCAGGTGACTGAATAGATCAAAATAATTGCTTCTACAGTCGTTGAGTTTCTTTTTCTTTTCTATACCTGTGCATAAACAGGAACTAGATGACCCTCTCATTCTGATCCACGACAAGAAAGTCTCAAGTTTGCATGCCGTGGTGAAAGTATTGGAGTTGGCTTTAAAGGTGCGCACTTTGTTTGCCAATCACTTTGCATTTGGAAGCTGGAGCACAACTACAACGCTGTTCATTTTTTACTTAACTGGATTTTCCTTTATTTGTTCAGAGGCAAAAGCCCTTGCTGATTGTTGCTGAAGATGTAGAAAGTGAGGCCCTGGCAACTCTTATTTTAAATAAGCTTCGTGCTGGAATCAAGGTCTGCACCATTAAGGCTCCTGGTTTTGGAGAGAACAGGAAGGCTACATTGCAGGATCTTGCCGTACTCACTGGAGGAGAAGTGAGTTAACTTCTGCACATATGTTGAATTCTTTGACATATTTTCTAGTCCTATTGAGCAAGTTCTTTACTTCTGTTTTGCAGCTTATAACTGAAGAGCTTGGCCACAATCTTGAAAAGGTGGATTTGGATATGCTTGGCAGTTGCAAAAAGGTGAGCTCAAATTGTTGACTATGGTGTTAGTTTATCTTGGGCGCTAGCACAAGCAGTGCATGAGTTATTGGCGGGATGGATTAGGGTTGGGTGGAATTTAATTTGGATCTTATGGGCAGCGGCAAAGGCAAGACATTGAAGAATTAGAAATGGACGAGGGTGGGTGCTGAAAAGTTTTGTGTATTTTGATGCATGACTAATTGGGTTTTGTCTTATAGGTTACCATATCAAAGGATGACACTGTTATTCTTGACGGTGCTGGTGATAAGAAGGCCATTGAAGAGAGGTGTGAACAGGTCAGTTTAACTTCATTGCTGGACTATGTTTAGCCATCCTCATGGCATCCTTTCCTTCTCCAAAAAAAAAAAAAAAAGGGCATCCTTTAATGCAAACAAATAACGTGATTATCATCTATTGATGTAATTACAGATCCGGTCTGCAATAGAGTCGAGCACTTCTGACTATGACAAAGAGAAGTTGCAAGAAAGACTCGCAAAGCTTTCTGGTGGTGTTGCTGTGCTAAAGGTCTGCCCTACTTTCTTACACACTTTGCGTGTTTTCTTCTATTAACCTACAAATACAATTATGGGGTATTTGCTTTAGATGAGTCCTCCATCTTCTAACTGGGGAAACATCCATTGCTTAAAAGTTGTAAACTGGAGTCATTTGAGTGAAAATTTTGCCAATGTTGCAGATTGGAGGAGCTAGTGAAACCGAAGTTAGTGAGAAAAAAGATAGAGTTACAGATGCCTTAAATGCCACAAAGGCTGCTGTAGAAGAGGGTATTGTGCCAGGTAATTCCCTATCTATCATCTTTCCTCGTGTTATATAGTAGAATTAAAATGAACACCCAAATCCTTAAGCTGTTTCCTGTTGCAGGCGGTGGTGTTGCTCTTCTTTATGCATCAAAAGAGTTGGATAAGCTGCAAACTGCCAACTTTGACCAGAAGATTGGTGTTCAAATTATTCAGAATGCCCTGAAGGTTTGTCCTTCATTGTGTGTGTGTGCATTTGTACGGGTGTGGTTCGGTGATGCGTCCATAAATATTTAATCTCTAAGCTTGAATCTGAGTGCAAGTTTGAAGATTCATGCCCTTTATGATTCTGCATATAGCCAAGCTTGAAATATTCCAACATTCATGAGAATTTGGTGTCCTTTCTGTTATGTTATCTCACTGAATCCCAAAATTGAACTTCCAATGTCAGACCCCTGTGCATACAATTGCTCATAATGCGGGAGTAGAGGGAGCTGTTGTTGTTGGTAAGCTATTGGAGCAGGACCACCCTGATCTAGGGTATGATGCTGCCAAAGGTCAGTTTTTGTTTTTTGTTTTTTTTTTCCTGAATTTTGTTGTTTACTTTACTCCGCTGGAGGTAACTTTTTTTAACTAATTGGTTCGGTACGTTCATGCATTACCAGGTGACTATGTTGATATGGTGAAAGCTGGAATTATTGACCCACTGAAAGTAATTAGAACTGCTTTGGTCGATGCTGCCAGGTAATCTGCTAACTTGCTTTTAGGTTTGGGGTTGGGTTCATGTCATCTGTTACATCTTATTGAGTAGCACTTGTTAATATATATATATATATATATATGTTTTTTGGCTTTCAGTGTCTCATCGTTGATGACAACAACTGAGGCTGTTGTAACTGAGCTGCCAAAGGATGAAAAGGATGCTCCAGCAATGGGTCCAGGCATGGGCATGGATTATTGAGGTTGCTTTTTAGACGCCGATCCGAACTGCCTGACATAAATAGTCAATTAGTATATTGTTCTTGAGATCGAAAGACATTCAATCATAGTGAGCGAGTCGCGGCATGTAGGTAGTGTCTGATAATTGGATAATGGATTTTTTGTTAGGGAAAAGTTCCATGCAAGGGTCTTTTTTCCCCAAAATAAAACATCCTCATCTTTGTAAACCTAGAGCCTGGTGTCGTAGTTATCTTTTCTTTGTTCTACTTCATGTTCCAGATAGAAACTAGTTTTTCATAACGCTGTGCCTGTGGGGATGGGCATAATTAAATTATTTTAATTTGATACCTCATTTTATACTGCAGATTTACAATAATATACTGCATCAAAGGTAAAATAAAAAAGAAATTTGATATTTTTTAATCAAAATCTTGATTGTTTTTATTTTTTTTAATAAATTTTCAACTGAATGGAACACATTTTTTTATTTTTATGCATTGTTTTTTAAACAAGAACTGGAACAATTTAAATAGAAAATTGCATTTAGATTTTTTTAAAAAAACTAGTATCTTTTCAATAACAAATCATGTTGTTTTGTATGCGCTGAGATTTAAATGAACTGGAACAATTTTCTAGAAAATTGATAAGATTTGGTTTTAGTTTTTAAATTCAAATATAATTTATATATTTTTCCTGGCCTACAAGTATTTTTGGCAGAGAGATGGACTGTTTCCTTCTATATATTTTTCCTGGTCTACAAGTATTTTTTGGAAGAGAGATGAAAATGGAAAGAACTTGACCTGCTTGCAGACTTCATATTTCTGCAGTCATCCCTAAAGCTAAATTGTGTTAATAGCCTGAAGTAATAAAATCTTCAAATATATTCCCAGACCATATTGTTCAGTTTAATAGAGTATATGTTCATTGTGTCCAGATACTGAAAACTTAAAAATTCAATTCTCTCTCTTGTACTTGGCCAAATTGGATGAATATCCTCGAATCAAAGATCATGGAACAAGATCCATATCCTCAATGAACATATACTCTAAATAAACTGTCAGCTACTGTGTTTTGCAGTATTTATTTCTACAGAAAAAAGAAAATGTTTATTTTCCTCGTATGTACGTCATAGCAATTCCTGAATTGACCAAATGTAAAAACCAGCTGAAGGATCAACATCAGAACAGAAATAAGTAAAACGACAATCGGAATTTTTCTCATCTTTCAGTGGAATAAGAGGAAGGATATGATCTGGTCAAGCATCCATGGATCTTTCATGCAGTTATTAGTTGGCCTGCTGCAGCGAAAACTTTCTTCTGTTCATACTTCGATGTTTCACAAATGACACATACAGCGTTTCCTATAAGAAGAAGAAGAAGAAGAAGATTTAATAACCACACAAGCAAATGTCAGTAGCATCAGATTAGTATAACTGTCTGCCATTGTTTGATGCAAGAGCAGCATTCCTGTGTTTTTTCGTTTTTTTACGTCCTCTTGAAGGGTAGAAACGTAGATTTATATTCAAGAAAGCCAGTAATCATGCATTATGACCTTTAGCTCCTGTTAGAACAGACTCACATACATGCATTGCTGGAGCATTTGGCCAGTTTGCAACTGGAATTGGCAACACTAATGCTGATTTCTTATCAGGCACTGGAAAACTCCTGCTCAAGGACTGAAAAATTGGTCATTTATGTTGCATCCTTATTTTTCTATTTAATAGGGTACATGAAATACATGATTTTAGGTTCTTTCTTCATATGAGCTTTTCTTTTCTTTGTATTACATGTTTATTCATAAATCCTCCCCACTTTGATTATAGATATTGTGTTCTATACATCGTTCCAAATGGCATTGTTGAAGCAAAGGTGCTGATCATGAGGATATCGGTGCAGCTTGCTTTGGCATCACGTGCTAACATCTGCTCTTTAACTGTGGTTGGATCACAAAAATACAAATCTACAACCGTTGCTTGATGCCATGAATCAGCATAAGTTTTTTTTTGAGTTTGACTCAACCTTTGTTTTGGAGAAGCATTAGATTACCATTTTGTTACAACTGATGTATCCAACAACAATGTACATGATGCAGCTGAACAAGCCAATTCTAAAAGACAAAACTTTTTATTTCAATGATTGCTGCACCTATTTTAATACAAAAACAACACTATTTTATATCTTTCTTTGTTATGATGCTTCAAAAAACAAAAATTAATCATATAAAACAACGTCCTAACGTTATTTAAACTACTTTCTGATACATTTGTGCTCTTCCAGCTACGCAGCGGGCCTTAATCTAGTGTATACAAGAAATATAAGTAAATTATAAATTGGTCCTTCTAGTTTTAAGAAAAAAATTAATTGGTCCTCATTTCAAAAACTATTATTTAAGAAACATTGATTTTTTGAAAAAAACAATCTTTCATGAGTATTTGGATTTAAGAAATGCAAGTCATAAAAAGAGATTATAGTAGCACTTAATTTTTGTAGCAATGATCATGAATTTCAATCTCTATTCTAACAGTACCACTTTCTGTTGGCATATTGTCGCGGTTCATTGCAAAGACTACATGCTTCCCTGGAATTGACTCCATTTCCATACATGCACAAAGACACAAGGGAACTAAGAGATTTTATTTCATAAATTTTAATTTGTCTCCTTTGAATTTGAGGGATTTCTTAATATTTCTAACAAAATTTGGTATTTATCAATTATTCTCTTGAAGTTTTATATTTTTATCATTTTTTATAGGCTAAAAGTTTATAAATTTGAGAACTTTAAGATCAAATATGTGTGTGTAATTCTAATTGAAAAAAATATAATAGTTAATATGATTGAGGAATGAATCATTGACTAAGGAAAAAAAAATAGAAGGTATTAATTATTTGAAAATGGTAAATATAAGAATCAAGAGGACGCTAGCGATGATGAAAAAATTACAGCATATATAGATTGACTTATACTTTTTTCTTTTAAAACCTATGAGAGAGATAGTGGAAGAAATTATAAAACTATTAACTTGGAGAGGATAAATTGTATGTCTATCTCGAAAAAGAAATAAACCATTTTCGTGATAAATTATTACACTGATATCGTCCATCATTTAAAATTATGGACTGAATCAATAGAATTTTTACATATAATTAAATTTATTTAAATCACATATTTGATAAATCACAATTAGAATGTACGATCTTTTTACATTTAATAGCACATTTATAAGTATAGAATTAAATAATTAACAATACATCCGTCATAAAATGACGTGGACAAATTTACAGTGATAGTATCACCTTCTTGCTCTGCTTACTTTAGACTGTCTAGCGGTTAATTGCTCTGCTAGGCATTTAATAGCGCGCACACTATATATATATAGTAAATTACAAAAAAAAAAATCACAATTAGTGTTAATTAATTTTTATTTTATGCCTAGATTTTTGAATTACTTAAAATATTAAAACATATTATATACTAGACTTACATTCAGCCACACGTAGGTACCATGCTTGTTTTTATCTATATTACTCAAACGAAGCTTGGCATAATTAGGGTTTAAGAGTTCCTAAATTTAACTTCTTTAAAATAAAACCTAGTTTAGAACTCGGAAAACCTGAGAGTCGACATGATCGTTAGGAGAGCGAGTTCCTTACCCGACCACAGGCTTTATATATGCGATCATTACTCATTTTTTTCATATGCCTTTGTCAAAACAATCAGAATACTCCTTTAGGTGAATCGTCTCCTCATCTATTGATTGAAACAAACAAGAAACGATAATTATTCATTTTCTTCACGTTAAGTACATGGTAAATCTTTAACTGTTTAAACGTCATCATCAACCAGATATACGTACCTTTTTTTTTAATGGTCTCATGAGATACACTCACATCTCGACCAATGAGGTCATCAACACTCCAAAACACGATAAAATTACTGCCATTTAACAAATCAGACGCTTAAGTTTGACCCGAACCTTCTAAACATGTAATGGAATATTAAAAAGAAGAAAAGAAAAAGAGTTAACGGTCGGCAAATTTTTCACAAGTCACAATACAAATGCAAAACCAAACTCTTGTTGTTTTCCACAAGTAATAGCTAATAGTTCAATGAAAAAAAACCTGAAACAAGCAACTCATGCGAAGAAGTTGATACACAGAAGGGTTTGTTTACTATATAGACTGCCATAAACTCTTAAATTACATGTTAAGGTTGTACAGATGCATAAAGCAAACAGTTCATGAAGCAAGTACTTAAGCAGAATTTATGGTAATAGGCTGCCATAAAATCAATTTATGGTAACAGGCCATCATAAAATCTCAACTTTCATGCCGGGATGTACATATCCATAAAGCTTATTATAACAAGCACTACACATTATCTACCTCTGCGGCGATTTTTCAAAGGAGCGCAATCAGAGCAATACCATTTTCCTTTTACTTTTTCTTTCAAACCCACACAACCAAAATGGAACCATTCAATCTTGCACTGCATTTTGAGAAAAGAAGGATTAGATATTTTTGGAAAACAGATTTGAAAAAGTAGAAAAATAACAACCTGATTACATACATCTGGGTTGTCACATGCAATCATATCCCCATAGCTAACTTGATTGCAGAAACAGTAGGTTGGTTCATTCGGATCCACCGGCAAATCTATTTCCATACCAGTAGGATTTGCAAATGTTGCTGCCACTGCCGGAGTCGCCACCGTTGCTGCTTCTGTAATACCCAGGCGTGTTCTGCGTATGTAGTTTGATTTAAAGATTGTCAATATCATTTCCTAAAAACCTGACATCAATGCCAGACTACTTCATGGAGCCTTAAATTGTGATGAAGTGGTCTTTAACTGACAGAAAAGGATACACTTATGTGATCTTTTGCACACTTGATTAACTAATGAACAATTACGAAAGAGATCATGAATAAAATAGTACTGTACAATTTGTGGTTGATCGTTGCAATTCTCCATTCATTATGTGCCTTCTTAATCATATTTTTTTTATCATTTTACAAATTAATTTGTTTTTGGTTGGGTGATAGTGCTATAAAAATACGATCAGCGACTAGCTTCTAAATAGCTCGTGTATACTTAAAATAAACCAAGCTAGAGCTTTGTCCAATTGTTCACAAGCAAAGCCTGATCAATGCTTAAACACTACTACTGACTGAGCTAAGACATACTTGAAACGGTACCTTGGTTGTAACACAGAGAATATCAAATGTACACATGCCTTCAGATTATTACATCTACAAAAGTTAACTGGAATATTGTGCCTTCCATATTACATTCGTAGACAGAAAAAGAAAAGAAAAAAAGTAGATGAAAACACAAAATCATATCCGCTAACTAATGTTATTATCTAGATCACACATTTCACAAATGTGTATTTACCCAGGGACCATTATTAAACTATCAAGTCTGACTTTGCCAAAAAAGTTTCTAAATGTTCATGATCTGTTTTATTTTTACCCAGGCATGTTTTGGATACCCTCTTTTAAAAAATAAAGGAAAAAAAATTTCCTAGTCCAGCACTAATAATAACATTTTCAGGCTTTGAAATACATACACAATAAATGGCATACATCTCTGTTGTTTTGGATTTGCCAAATTGTCATTATAACCATGGAATCTCTGCCTGAGCCACCAAGTGAAACAAGTTTTTTTTATCATTCCTATCCTTCTTATATTCATGTGTAGTTATACTACTTTAGACATTCTTAACTATATGGGAACAGACATCAGTTTCCCAAACATAGACCACTCTTCCTTAAGTTCTTTGGCAGAGACCTGTATCCTGCAAAACAACCTGTCACTTGGTTGACATAAGGCTGACGTTCCCGGTATCTTTCCCTTCTTCATCGTGACAGAAGGAAGTCCCTGCATCTCTGTCGGGAATTTCATTTTCAAAGCAAGACTTCTACTTCTACGGCAAATTGTCCTAATCCTGGATCTCTTATATATTTTTATAACAGTTTCTTCTATTTTCTCGGGCAAGAAGTCCTAATCCTGGGTCTCGTGTTTTTCTGTATAAAAATTTCTCACACTATCCCTAAAAACAAAGACATTGAGGAAATCCTATGTGAGATAAACCAAGTAAATCCATTTTCAACACAGAGCTTCCAAAGAGAAAGTAAATTGAAGTTGAGAAGCCTAATCAATTAAGGTTCTTAAAGTAATCAATAAGGAAACAATGGACAAGTATAATTAGAAGAGAGAGATACTTTTTACGCCCTCCTCTACCACTCTCGCTACCCCTTCCAGACTTTGTACTTCCATCAAAACTCGAAGCAGGCAATGCCGGAGCAGCAGCACCACTATCTCTTTCTATCAATGATTATATCATGCGATCACACAAATTTAGTTAAGATGGAGATACTAAAGTGGTTGTGAAATACAAAATAAAACCTGTCAAGAGATCCTTTCAACATCAAGTATGAATAAAACAAACCTTGGGGGCAGAAAAGAGTGCAAATTACCTCGCCGATTGTCTTCATCACATAGCTTCAGAAATTGATCAAGTTGTTGAATGTGTGCATCTACCTGAGGTAATGATTATAACATATGCATTTACTTAGGTAATTCTATGTCTAGAGATACTGCAGGCCAGCAGAGAAAGGTACAGAAGTATCACAGTGTATGATTATAATAACACAGATTACAATTACGTTTTATCTGAAAGTACAACAGGCAAGCACAAAATAGAGTGGGAGTCATGAAGAGAATCCAAATGACTAATGATTACACCAATAGGATCCCTTTCCAGCATTAATCCTAAAATACACATTACAAAAGCAATGGGAGGGCAGAAAAAAGAAACCAACTCTACCCAAAAACATCTATTCATTAAAAATGCAACAAGTTGAATCAATTTCCATGGACCATAGCAATGAACTGCAGGGCTTTTCTTTATATCTAAGAGCAATGCCTCCCTAATGTCTCTCCAAAAAGACATGAACAGTGACTTAATGCAGCAAATTGCTCATTGGTCTGATAATAACATATCAACAGCCACAAGCAACAAAATCATTCAAACAAAGCACTTCTCTCGATCTTTAATCTTTAACCAAATAAAAGAAGCCTTAAAAGATTGATTTAATTAGAGGGTAATGATACAGGATCTGGTTATGTAGTAAATAAATTTAAATAAGTGACCTTTGAGGTTGCAAGCTCATCATCCTAAAATAAAGGACCACCAACTGCAAAAAGAAGAAAATGTTTCCACAGTTGCAAAATGAAAACACTTCTATTACAAACAAATCCTGCAACTACTCTATCACCACTGAACCATTAATCTCCATTTTTTCCTTTCAGGAAACTTAGTCAAAAGAATCTCGCAAGCTTTACTCACTATTTGGTCGGTAAGCACTTCTATTACCATTGTTGAGTGCACGGTTCCAAGGGATGGTTCATTTCAGGAGTTCTGAAGAGGATGGACTATTACTGATGTGGTGATGAGAAATAAGACACACTCAAATTGATAGCCATTAGATAATGGGTATTTGAAGTGTCAAATGATGGTGTGAGGGTTCTCAGCCAAATGTTTCAAAATGAAACTCATTATTGGCTAAAGTTTTTGAAACCAAAGCGCATTGACATCTATCCAAATGCAATAGAACAGGTGAGGCTAATCTAGGGCAACCTGATGGCTACCAAAGTTGGGATGTTAGGTTTTTCCTACAAAAAGTTAGACAAAGTTTTACATTAACATTTAAAAGCTAGTCAATTTGTCTGCACATTGCGTTTGCTGCTACATATTTTCTTATTTTCTAATTGGAAAAAAAATGAAGTGACAAGGTAATTCCCAAAAACAAGAGAAGCCATTGCACCAATAGAAAATCGGTAAGAGCGAACAACTACATATATCAGATGAGAAAAAGAGCAAGAATTTGATCACATAAAATCAGGTATGACAAGACACATGCACTGAGTGGATCAATAATATATAAAGCTGAGATCCGAGATCCAACATACCAAATCATATGCTTGGACAGCCAATGCAATTTTTTCATCCGCAATCCTGATGCTATGCTTTTGCTCATCAAGTCCCTCATCTGAGAATCTGATCAGTGAAGTATTTGGTGTAATGTTTCCAGCCTTAACTCCTTGTTTAATGTCCTCTATTTCTTGGTCACATCGTTGTTCATTTTGCCGTTGGATTTCTGTTCATATGCATTAAAACTGTGCTTGAGAGGTGTGCTTTAAAGGTGAAAAGGAATATTTGACTATTGACAGAGAACATCAACTAATTTTTCTGTTTATGCAAGCAACCAAGGAAATGTGAGCAGGGGGGCAAATTGAAAAAGGGGAAGCACAGAAAGTATCACAAAGCACAAGTAAACAGGAAGCAACCATACAGCCACACATGTGATATGTGTTCGAGCTATTGACTTTTTGATATTTGGGAGATTTTCCATCATTTTGAAGTTTCTGGCACTCGGTCCTGTTATGATTGAGTTGAAAAGAAACTCCTACATAGTTTTCATTAAGCAAGTACAATTAACAGAATAATTAGAGTTCTCTACAAGTTATGGTTTCCCTAACCTACAGATTCTAAATGCCATATGAAAAGAACAAAACACGAGTCCCTCAATTAGAAGTCTAACCTCCCCTAAGCAGTCAAAACCCCCAAATACCTATTGTATGTCTCATCAATTCAATCAATCAATCCATGGTATCTTATCAAATCTTAAATCCACCCTAACAAAATAAACAAGATGGAAGATATGACAACAGTAACTGAATAAAAAACAAAAAAACAGTTCTTTTTTAGTGAAAATAATACCCTGCAAACTTTTGTCCAGATCACGCAACAATGAGTACTTCTTTTGCAGAATATTGGGCAGCGCTTCCAGATCTGCGCAACAAATCAATATGGAGTCATTTAATAGTAGACAAGAAATAGAAAGCAAAAAAAAAAAAAAAAGCTAAGATGATAACATCCCATCCATTGTAAACATAATTTAACACACAAATTCAATATTAAATACACGAACAAAGACACTATTACTTATAGGCCTGCGCATTTAACATGCATACCTAAAAAAATGATACTTCAAGGAATTATGAAGCTCATTTGTCATCATGAATAACTAATAAATTCAAGAAACCAATTACTATTTCTCATAAATATATTTTTTTTAGCTAGAAAGAACTCTTGAACGTCAACATGAAGGTGGAATTGAATTTAAAACCACCAAACAAGTGATAAAACCTACGAAACGCACAATTTATGCAGATTTTTGGGTGCAAAAACCTTGAATTATAGAATATCAAGCCTAAGTACTGTTAAAAAAATGATAAAAATTGAACCAGGTTATGTCTTTTAAATTAACAAACAATTTATGTACAATCAAGTATGAAAATTACGAAACTGAAACAATAACCTTAAATTCAGAGAGAAAGTAAGAGAGAGATTACTGGCTTGAAATTCATCGACGAAGGAGGACATTTTATGGTTTATTTTTGTGATTTTGTTTTATCAAGGGTTTTGGGTGATCCCGCCACAGATTTGAACGAGTATTGTGCCCTAGATTTTAAAACCCAATTGAAATCTTCAGACAGACTTTCGGGTTCTAGGATATCCGATCCAATAAACTGGATTTACGGTGGATGTGTGTTGGAACGATGGCGTTTCACGACTTTATTCATACAAGATATCCATACCACGTCGTTTTCGAAGATAAATTTCTCTAAAATAACACTCGTGTCCATCTAATTTTGGTAATTACACTTGCATCCCTTTCTGCTCTTCCGCCGGTTTGGGTTGGGCATTATCTGTGCACGAAACTTTTTACCAGCCCAAACTCTTAAGCCTGCTTTTGATTGCTAAACATGAATATCAGCTCGGGCTTCAAGCTTTTAGAAAAAGAAATCGTTATGCGGCCTTTCTAAATGATGGTTTTTAATCAGCCAAGCCTGGACTGGGAACCATCAAGGCGACTAGTTAAGCAAAGGCATGGAATTGAGACTAATAAAAAAAAAAAAAACTTCATGTCTTTATTTATATATAATTTGAGATTGAGTACTTATACGTAAGACTCTAAATATATAATAGAGACGAAACTAGAAAGTTTTCCATGTGCTTCCACTGTTAGTACATTCCATTTTAAGACGCTACTTTTTTTTATGGTAACAAAAAGAACAGAAAATATGTTGTTCTGAAATAATGAATGGGGAAAACTTCGTTTTTAGTTGTATTTAATTTTACATAAGCAGGCAGAATGTCAAATTGCCCCTATAGCTCAGTGGTAGAGCGTCAGTCTTGTAAACTGAAGGTCCGTAGTTCGATCCTGCGTGGGGGCATTTTGATTTTCGTATGGAGACGATAAACTTCTTCTGAAGGAGATGAGAAAGGAACTTACTCACTCAGGCCAATTAGTGCATTCTCCTCTCTTCTTGCCAACTTTACTTAAACCACATCCCCCATATCTATCCTAACATTCCATCCTCCACTCCACAAGTTTTAGTGAGTCAACACCAGAAGACACTAAAACAGTAAAACCAACTACAGGTGAGAACAATATTAAAAAAAAATTAAAACCATAACGTGAAGACAAAGGCAACTAGTTCACGAATGCAAGAAATATGGACAATGAACAGTTATAGACTAGCCTTCTCTATGTAAAACCCAATTAAACAAAAAAAAAAAAATCATTAGGGAGTTATGCAGGTAGAGAAAAAGGAAAAATAGAAACATGACCACAAGAATTCGATCAGCCGCATGTTTAGGAAAGACCGGGAAGAGTTGTTTGTTGGTTTCGTATGTTGACTTGGGTGATTAAGGATAAAAACCCTTGCGTTGTAGAGTCCAAAAAGATTAAGCAATCAAAAGCAAGAGGAACGATTTAGTGAAAATGTGTAGTGACAGTGAGAGAGAAGCGTGAAAACAAGATCAATCAAAAATTTTATGCAGGAATTAAAATATGCGACCATTGCGTGCATCATGATGCAATTTATTACGTTTCTTGTTGAAATCCCTTCTAAAATCAATCCCTCTCCCTCTCTCTCTCTCTCTCATCCGTAACGACCTAAAAGTGATTCTTCTAATATTCTCATGTCACCAACCTCAACAAATTTAATTTCAAAATTTTCAATAAATGAATTTGCATTTCAAGACCAATATAATTCTAATTTAATGATAACGAGTTTTGTTTATACTTGTAAAAATCACAAGTTTAAAACCTCTTTTCTTTTTTTTTTCACACTGCTGACTATTAATTATCAACGTTAATATTTTAATTGTTTAATTTGTGAACTACAAAATTCTTTATGATCCAAATAAAATAAAATAAAAGAATTCGTTTGCCAAACTATTTTTAATGGTTAGCTTTTCTTTTTAGTCAGCTCAATTCAGATTTTAGACATAAAAGCTATGCATTCCCAACTGCAGAATTGTATAACCATTCAAATTCTTTTTGTAATGATTCGGTAAGCATTTAATAAGATAGCACATCAATTATTCATGAAAAAAAAATAGCATAACAATTAAGGTAAAGATAAAAACTTGTACAATTTAAGAATGAATTCATTATATGATTCTTCATAATTTTCCTTCCGTAGAAATTTTTAATTTTTACCATTTGAAGTTGTACTGTCATATTCATTAAATTTTAAATTTTAAATTCAAATCGAATTATTGAAAAGATAAAAATAGCTTAATTTTTTATTATTTTAGTCATGTCGCCTAATTAATATCATTAAAAATAAAACTTGGAATATATATGACTTGTTACGTTTCATGAAAAAAAGAAACTTTCGAATTTTTTTCTAACAGAAAGCCTTTTTCTTTTAGTTGAACCTCCCTCTTAATGAAAGCTTGCGCGTCTGTAATTTCGCAATCGCTGTAATTTTTCACATTATAATTCTATTTTCTCTTGAAATTAAAATGGGACGATGCAAGCCTAAATCATTTCCTTGCAGATGGGGAATGCCTTGTGAGTTAATTAGCAGAGTTTTTTTTTCAAAAAAAAAAAATAGAAAAATAAATAAATAGAGCCTCGGCCTCGAGCACCGTGTTGTTAGACTTAACGGTATCTAGAATTCCTACAAGCGCGTATTAAATGGGCCCCTCCCCTCCTCTGACACCGTAGGATTCAAAGCAGCTGGAGCTAGCTAAGCTACTGAAAGGTACGTTTAAAAATGTGTCAAAGGATGGGCCCATAATTTCCTTGTGTTTATCTTGTTTGTCAATGGCTTCGAGTTTCTTTCAAACAATCATGCCCTTCTCGATTTTGTTCCATGTTTGTGGTGGTTGGCACCCTGTTTAAACAATCAAAACGTCTTGTTCCTGTATTGTCGCTTTCATTTCGGTCGCTCTCATTATTTCCAATTTGAATAACTCAAGAAAGTTTTTTTCCCCCATGTAAATTGGAATGTTCAAGTATTTATACTTATGTCTAAATGTCTTCTAATGCAAATTAACCAAATAAAAGGACCGAAGCAACATAGATATAGATATGATGATAAATTTCTTTTTATCGTATACTTTTCATTGCAGAAGAGAAATGGACTAAACCAATAGTGTGAGATTGCAACTAAAATTATTTTCTTGTCTTTGCAACACTGTGATTGTAAATTAGAGGGGGAAACCTAAAATCAAGATTGGCTTAAAGTTCTTAAGGTTTGGTATTGTAAATTTTTCCTACAAGCTACATCTATTGACTTCCTTTCAATCCATAAGTAAGTTCTCAGGTTCATCCATATCATTAAAAAAAAGGTTGCCCCACCTTCACAGCTGCTTCTTACCAATTTCCTAATAGAGGAAACATGCATGCCACATTGCCATTGTTTTTTTGTGAGGTTTCTTACGCACTGTTTGGGAAAGAGGTAAATGGAGGTTGATATATTAGGAGGGCATATCTGTTATTTAATACCAATTACCTTTCCTTCCCCCTATTCAAATTCCCTTTCCTTCCTAAAGCTAAAGTTATTCCAACAAGCTGTGAAGAAAATTTTGGCATATAAAAGAAACCTAATGAGCTGTATGAACGCTGCTAGAGGTTAAGTGACATTGAAGAAACTTCATACCTAGAAAAGTCAAAAAAGACAAGAAGAAAAAGAAAATTTGATAAGTAAATAATTGTTATATATATATATATATATATATATATATATATATATATTGATGTGAAATTCATGCAACGATTATGTGATGCTATGCATGTGAGTAAATAAATCTTCTGTAATGTTTGGTTGGGGGCTATCATGATCTCATCATTAAAATGGACACGAGCAAACTATTCAAAGATCCAACGGCTATGAGACCAAGAAACCAGTTAATTTTGGGCTTTTTTAAGAAAAATGGTGAACCGAATGCAGACTTTTCTGAAGAGCAGTTCTTTTTCCTTTTAAAGTACTTCATGATTTATCATTTTTTCCTTGTCCCTTTTTTTCCTTTTATTAAAGTTTGTACGGGAAGTGAAGTAGGAGCTAGCTTCAGTGGCTTTTGTCCTGCTGAGGAACAACAAACCCCAAACTGCATTCTCCATAACAAGAAAGGTTAGATTTTTTTTTTTTTTTTGGAATGTTATAATTTTCTCTTCGCTTGCTAGTTACTTGGTTTACACTCTCTTTTCTCGCATTATTATGGCCAGCATTGCTTAATCATTTACTGGGTTGCTTATAAGCCAATTTCTGTATCTTAGCTTAGCTTTCGGAATCTCACAGATCTTTGGAGTTCTTTCATGTCGAATGTTATATGCTTGTATACCTGCATTTTGGTTCCCATGGATTTGTGTAAAAGTTAGTTGTCTGCTACAAAACACTATTAATATATCAAGTTATCAGCCATTTTCCCATGTACAAATCAAACTTTAATGGCATTGCTACAGGTTATAGACGCACCTCTTAAAATTATGGAGGCAAAATTAGTGAAAATAACAGGTTGGATATATTCTACTGGTGGAGCAAGTTCTTAACTTTGAGCTTGAGTGCTCCCAAGTAATACATTTCAGTATTTCACTATTATTAGTCTAATTGAATTCTCTCAAGGGATCTTGAAAACCTTCGGTTGCCAGTCTAGGATGTCTGTGCAATATTAGTGTAATACCAGGTCTTTTAAGCACGAAATTTGTCAAATTTGCAGGGCAGTCTTGATTTTGTTTTATTTTTTTAAATAAAACTTGGAATTCCCTTTCTCCTGGATGTAACATAACACTGTTAGCATCGGAAGGGTTGGAAGTCACCCATAATGAATTAATTAATCAACTTGTACTCTTCATCACTTGAAATTGCAGAATGGATAGATATGCCAGATCAGTTGAAGCAGACGCAATGCATACAAGACCAAGCAATGCTGAGGTTCCACAGGGAGAAGTAAATAGTCGATTAGAGCAAAAGAGAATCGATTATTCAAAAGAAAAGAAGAAGACCCTGCAAGCTCGTTATATATATGGCATCATCTTCTTGATTATAAATCTTAAAGCTTGGTTTTTTCGCGATTATGGGCAAAAGGTTCTATCTCATTTCAATAGTGAGTCAATGATCTTCCCTCGCCATGACTTGGAGCATTGTTTTGCATCTATATGAATCATTTTTGGTCCTTGAGATTTCCACAAATTATGCAAAAATTGTGATCTACCATTTAATTTCTGACATTATCAATTTCATAGGATCGATAATACAATGTTAGCATCCACACTAGCTTGAATATTTTGATAATGTCTTTCAAACGGCTAGCACTTCGTAGTTCCTCTCATGAGGATTTCCGGTGAAGGACTGCAATTGCCTTTTTCTTTTTGTACTAGTTACTTTTAAGCAACATTCTCGATGTAATACCGGAATATTTGGAGGATCATGTGGTAAATTTTTTTATCATATGCTGAAGCGGCAGCACTATGCATCCCTGAATCAGTACATGTAAATAGAAAATTAGCATATATGAAACAAATGGTTTCTTGAAATATTCTTTCTGTTATATGATTACTGCCATCCATAAGATACTGCTTACTGCTTTCACTATGCTCCATATATACCTGTTGAAGCTTTTAGCTCTTCGGTTCTTGGTTTAGTTTAGTTATTTCTTAACATTAAGTCCAAGTTAAAGGATTTTTAAATTTGTATTTGTGCTTCTGCCACAGAGGTGAATTTGTCGTAAAACCTCCAAAACAGAGGTGGTGAAACTTGAAGAAATATTACTGAAATCCTTTCTTTTACTTGTTAATATCTTTTCCAGATCTAAAAGCTTGTGGAATTGAGGGACAAGATTGCTGTCATACATTGGGCGTTCTTCGTGTGAGTTTAGGCTGCTTTGTATCTTTGTTTCAACAGAACAATGACTGTAGTTGTTCTGAAATCTCATATATGTTTGATTCTTTACATCATTATGTATCAATGCCTAAATGCCAGAATGCTGTTACTTGGATCTCTTATGCAGAAATGTTGCTTAAACATGGATATCTTTCCTGCTATCCAGGAGGGAAATTTTTTCCTTCTTTCCTTACCCTTCTTTGCGCAGTTTAATCTTTATGTTCTTACATGGATCTTTTATGCAACATTTATGGGAATGGAAATGTAACTACAAAAACAGAAGCAGTCCGTCCTCTTTTTCATATCTATTCTGGTGTCTCAGTCTTTCAAGAACTAGCATCCTTGACATCAAACTCAGATATTTTTTGCTGTTATGTTTTTTACCACAATAAAAACAAGAAAATTATATGAAGCTCGCAGCAGTTGGCATTCAGGATGGTGGGCATTGAAGCTTGTTCAATTGATTGTATCAATGGCAGTTCCATTCTTCCTCTCTTCAAAGTACATTCAAATATATGGTATGTCTAACTAAAGAAAGTTTATGCAATCTTGAAATTTTAGGTTCTTTTCATGCAAAATTTACATTCAAAACTCTACCAGATGATTGATAATAAAGCTAACTTGTTTATATGAAGCTTTCCTTTTAATCTCTATTAGCTGGGATAGTGCTGAACTTTTGTCTATTCCTTTACAAATTTTAACTGCCAATATATGCTGTCAGTTTGCTTTACATTAGGAAATGTTATATTGTTTAACAAGCTCATTGCTATTTTATTGCAGGTGAACTTGCTAGAGTTGGTGCTGGGTAACCTTCTGATAATTTCTTATACTTAAATTTCTATCTAATCTGAAGGATTTTTTTTTTTTTTAATCCTATGACACCTTATACCTTATTCTCTGCAAACCATGTGCCAAAGCATTTCCAATTTCACACATCATTCACTAACAATAAAGAGTGTTCTTCCCTCCTAATTTAAGCCATTTCTCTTACTTTTTTGCTGGACAAGATAGATATTTGTCATTTTCTTTTAGTTTGTCTTGTCCATACAACAATCCTTCCTTTCCCTGACAACAACAAATATCAAATTCTGAATTTCTGGTTTTCTTGTGTGCACATGTGAGGTCTTGATTTCCTGTGAGGGAAATATTTTATTTCAAACTGAAGAGTCATTGTGCTGGTTTTATATTTAAATTCTGTTGTACGAAGGCAAAGAAATTGCTAAAAGTATTCAGTCTTACCTTTTAATTTTTGACTTTGAATGCGCATCATTTTGTTGTTGCTCTGCAGAATTTTTCTTGTTCTCCAACTTGTAAGCGTAATTGAGTTCATCACCTGGTGGAATAACTACTGGATGCCTGATGAACAAGAGAAGAAAAGGTATTAGCTTTTCATTCGCTAAAAATGCCTTTATGATTTGGAAACAAAAATATACAATCGGCCTTTTAAAGAATTTGACTACATGCATGAATTTAGAATTAGAATGCTGCCGGATAACCCAATGCTAATTGGGATTTGGGCCATGAGAGCAAAAAATTATAAGAAATGGGGGTGAGAGATGTTGGATTTATGTCCTGATAGTTGAACAATGGCTAATGGGCTGGCTAAGTTGGATGAATTCCAGTTTTCCTGATTCTCAATTTCTTATGACTTAAAATATGAGCAATGCAGGATTTGGTTTTTCTCATGGCTAATGAGATAATGTCAAACTCTGTTCCAATCTTTATGTAAACAAATGAGAATTTTCTGATAAAATTGTTTGCTTCTTTTTTTGCAGTTGCTCCCTCGGATTATTCATCTCAACAGTTTTCTATATTGCTACTGTTTGTGGAATTGTGGTGATGTACGCTTTATATGGACGGAGACTTGAATGTTCTCTAAACATATTCTTCATTACATGGACTGCCATTCTTCTTATAGTGATGATGGCTATGTCCTTACACTCAAAGGTATGTCTTTTTATCTGACTGCACATTTGTATGGTTTGGACATATAGTAATCGTTTTAAGCATATCAATTGTCCATGATCGAAGAAAACCTTATCTGTTCTTTGGATAAATTGAACATGTCTGCCACTAACCGATGGATGATATGAGCAACACCCCATTCGTGATTAAGAGTGCCTGTATTAAGTGCTCAACTCAAATTTTCCAACTGTTATATGAGATAAAGCTGATTGAGGTACAAAAGTCTCATTATGGCCAAATGGAGAATGCATTGATGTTCAAATTTGTCCGAATAAGAAAGAAAAAATCTAATACCTCCTTTATCCGTCACTCAGGATTGGCCAAGCAGAGCAATTTTAATGGGTGCAGGCACATTAGAAACCCATAGTGCCAAAAATAAACAATTCCCCCCAGCAGTTAGCAGGCAATATCTTTTCTACCCTCAAACCCTTCGACATTTCTGACACCAGAAGCTCAGATTTGGGAGAAGGATCAGTTCAGTGGCTGTCGATGATAATATGTGTGCTTTGAAATGCACTATCATAGCTATAGAATAACTGTTCTGCAAAACTTTTTGTGATACATTAGCTTCACTTTTTATTTGACTTGTGTTGTGTCAGGAATTTGGTCAAGTTGTCTTCTGCTCGATTTTACATATGAAATTCCGTTGATTGTTGTTTTACCATTTTGTACAGGTCAATAGAGGCCTTTTGTCTTCTGGGATTATGGCTTCATACCTTGCCTTCCTCTGTTGGTCTGCTATAAGAAGGTAAGACATTGGCACATATTGTTCCATGTAGGAATGACTTGAAGTTCTTCCCTGTGCACCATCAAACACCTTGCCTTTAAAAATCTTATTAGTTGCATTCCTTTTAATGCTCAAATTCTGACATTTTGATCGATATCACATTTTCCAATTTATCGTCATGGTCCATTAAACTGACAAAACTTCCAGACTTTAGTTCGTGACATGAAACTGATTTCTGCTCTTACCTCGTGGCTTTACAGTGAACCTGCCAGCGACAATTGCAACAAGCAGAAAGCAAATGGAGATAGTGACTGGACCACCATACTTGTAAAACCTAAGAATCTTTCTGCTTGCCTTCAATTTCACTTGCTTGGTGTTTTCCAAACAGTTGTGGTGAATCATGTTTTGGTTTTTATTTGATATTGCTTGATTATGCAGCTCTGTTTTTCTGGATTTGCAAAAAATAGTTCTAAGTCCAACAATTGAGTTGATAATCTTGGACACCACTGTGGCCTCATATGTTAAGCATGGAAACTAAATGTAACCTCCTTGTCTTTTGGTACCAGTGTATCACTGTAAAAAGGTAGATATGTAAAAAGAGGGTCTTGGCTCCATAGCTGTACCTTTGGAAATAGTGGTAAAAACCTTGTTTATGTTAGACCAAGCATTTTCAGCATCATTATAATCACAGTGATACAACCTCGTCCCCAAAATCAAAGTTATCTTGCAGTTGGTTTAATTACAAATCTAAGGTCATGTATAAACAAGTTTATCTATTCTTTAATGGATATAAACGGACTATGCATGTGTAATCTGCATTGCAATCGTTTTTGGTGTTACACTATATATCTTTGATCTGTCACATTGGTATCTCAAATTCCTGTGCCCAACTCTTTGCCTCCCTCTTTTCCCTTCATGTATATTTATGTGTTAATTTCTCGTCTTCCAGAGCTTCCTGTTCGCAATAGGTGCCATTGTTATGGCAACATTTTCCACGGGAATTGATTCACAATCATTTCAGGTAAATTACTCTCCTCTGCTGAATTACATAGCCTAAAGCTTCTGAGCACTGTGAAGTTAATCATTCAATTCCATACAAGTCAGTGCTTCCCCAATCATACTGTAAAGTCACTGATTTGGCTGAGATGGATCAAAATTTTCTTCTGGTCCATTATCTTTTTTAGCCGAGAGAAGATTTTGTGTTATAGACAACATTCACCGTTTCCTATCTCCGTTAGTTTGTTAGCAACCGAGCACACAAGCGAATATACAAACATGAAATAATGCTGCTCTATGACTGCAAAGGGTTGACAATCACTTCTGATGTCTGTTCTTCACATGTTCTTTCAGTTCCGCAAAGATCATGATCAACGGGAGGATGATATCCCTTATGACTATGGGTTTTTCCACCTTGTATTTGCTTTCGGGGCCATGTACTTTGCAATGTTATTCATTAGTTGGAACCTGAAAAACTCAGCAACAAAGTAAGGGAACCAGATTTCTAATCTTCTCCAGTCATCACATATTACTTTTTAAGGACTGAAGTTCATTACTTAATCACTTTAAACATGCAAGGTGGATCATTGATGTTGGCTGGGCAAGTACATGGGTAAAAATCGTGAATGAGTGGTTTGCAGCAACAATATACTGTAAGTGAACCTATCCACCAGCGTTTTTCCTTTGGATTGATAATGTGATGGAAATCTCTTTCCCTCAGTTGAGTCCTACTCTGGAATTTTCCTTCCAGGGGAGCCATAAGTAGAATGGGAAGTGTACTTTTAAGGTGGTTCCAAGGGAAAACAATAATTCTTTTACAGTCTTAAATCATAATTTTTTCCAAAATAATTTATGTTTTTCTCGTTCTTTTTTCCTTGTCTTATGCAGTATGGAAGTTGATTTCCCCGGTTGTAACAGTAAGGGAGTCCAAAGTCATGGATCATGAAGATTCAGTTAGTCAGTCTGTTAATGTAACCTTGCCGTGATATCATTCAGCAGTTGAACTGTTGAAGTTGTATCTGTTAGAACATTGAAATGGTGTGAACTGCACACATTCCTTTATTGATGAAACATATACAATATATTTAATGGTCAATTAGTAAGAAACTAATCTGCCAAGAATTTGAATTATCATTTATTTGAATCTGTAATTTGTAATTCAAACAAATTGAAATAAATGATAATGATTACATTTTACTTGAATTATTGAATTTATAATTTGTAATTCAAATTAATGATAGATATCATCTAATATGCCCCCTCGAGGTAGGCCACAAGAAGAGAGGCCAATCTTAACTTTGAGAGACTGAAATTTAGAACTAGGAAATGACTTCGTAAGTGCATCAGCAAGTTGATCGATAGAGGAGACATGAGTGAAAGACAGGATTAGAACACAACCGAGTTGCACCAATATTACTACAATAAATGACATAGGCATTAGAAATAGCAAGAGCAACATCAAATAAGAGGTAACACATCCAATTTAGTTTAAAGCAATAGCAGCTATAGAACGATATTTAGCCTCCGTAGAAGAGCAAGCAACAATGTTTTGTTTCTTCGAACTCCAAGAGATAGCATTACAACCAAGATAAACAATGTATGCACTAATAGAGGAGAAATAATTTATGTTTCCAGCCTAATCGGCATCCGAGAAGGCATGAAGAGATAATAGAGAATCACAATAGAGTAGAATTCTTTCATCTAAAGTATCATATAGATATCGTAGAAGATGTTTGACTAGTGCCCAATGCTCTCTTGATGGTTGTGCATCAATTGTGATAATTTGTTAACCGTATAAGATATGTCTAGATGAGTGAGTGATAGTATTGGAGATTTCTATCAACAACACAATATTCAATGGGATCGGTAAGTGGAATGCTTGAGTGTAAAGAGTTGAAGTCGTGGGCAATGGAGTGACAATAGGTTTGGCACCCATTTTATTTGTTTAAGTGAGAAGATTAAGGATATAACGTCGTTGGAATAATAGCGTATAATATTTATGAGGAACCACTTCAACCCTAAGAAAATATAGAGCCCAAGATCTTTGAGAAAGAACCATTAAAAAAGAACATCAATAAACTAAGAAATAGTAGTGGAACAATCACTTGTATTGATAATATTATCAAAATAGACAAGTAGGTAGAGTAAATGAGTACCATCATTGAAGATAAATAAAGAGGTGTCGAGCATGAGAGTTCTTGAAACCGAGTATCAAGAAGAAAGTGTTGTAGCTCATGGTATCAAGCTCGTGTACTTACTTGAGGTCATAAATGGCTTTATGAAGCTTACAAATATATGTAGGATGGTCGGAATCAATGAAGCTTGGAGGTTGTGTAATATATGCATCTTCAAAAAGTCAACCTTAAAGGAAGTCATTGTTAACATCCAGTTGCTTAAAAGACCAAACCATTCCTAGTACCAATGCCGAGAACAAATCTCATAGTGGTTGGTTTAACAACAAAGCCGAATGTGTCATAATAGTCCAACTTGGTCTTTAATGAAACCTTTTGGCAACAAAGAAAGCTTTAAACATGTCAACGAGCCATCGAATGTCTTTTAATATGATAAATCCATTTTCACCCAAAAATATTAAAGGTCGTAATAGGTGAAACTAGCTTCCATGTTTCATTGTGGACTAAAGCATCATACTTTTCCGACATTTCTTTATACCAATTAGGTTCTTTGAGTGTTTGGTTCATAGTTATGGGTTTAAAACTATTGGAGGTGGAATGAATATGAGTGTAAAGATTGAGTTTTTATAGTAGCTTACTAATGTTTTTTAGCCCGAGTAGTCATGCTATGCTTGGTTTGGAGATAGTAGGGTTAAGTGTATGTTTGGTTGTTGTATAGGTTCAAATGGTATGCTAGTTTGAAGGTCATGGATTTAGAACGATTGCGATGTGGATGCAAGAGGTTGGGGTGAAAGATCAATGGTTGATGTTAGTTCTTGGAGGCGTACATTAGATAAAGGTTGAGGTACCGACTATAAAAGACTAAAAAACGAGATAATAAAATTAAAGGAATCCAAGTGTCAATAGTGGTGGAATCAAAACAAGGTAAATTAGCATGAGAGATGTATAAGGAAAAACTAATTCTACAAATTGAACATAATGAGAAACATAGATTTTATTAATGGATGAATCAAGACATAAATAAGCATTCTAAGATAATAAATATCCAAGAAAGACACAAAGTTTAGATCGTGAATCAAGTACAATCGAAGTCAACGATGACATAAACACCCAAAGATTCTAAGTTTAGAATAGTTAGGAGTTGTACCAAAAATTAATTCGTAAGGGGAAGATATATTGAGTGTGGTGGTAGAAATTATATTAATTAAACAAACAACTATAGCAAATGCATGTGACCAAAATGTTAATGAAAGAAAAGCTTGAGAGAGTAATGTAAGGCTAGTTTCAACTATGTAACGATGTCATCTTTTAAAGTATTCATTAAGTTCGGATGTATCCTTTGGGGTGATGAGATGAGAAATACCATATGTTGCTAAATCATCTTTTAGTGCCAACTATTCCTCCCTATTGACGGAATAGAAAGTACGAATTTTGTGTTTAAAATAATTTTCTATGATGGCTTTGAAGAGAATAAAAATTATTTTAACTTCGATTTTTGCTTTAATGGGTAAAACCATAGATATTTGGTAAAATGATCAATAAAAATGATATATTGTTTGAAATCATCATGCGAAATAATAAGAGAAGTCCAAACGTCAAAAAAGATAATTTCAAAAGATTGGGAGAAGACAATAGAGGAAGTAGAAAATGATAACTTATGACTTATAATATTGACATGCATTAAATGAAAAAATTTTTGACACGATAGATTGGACATCCAAATCATAAGTAGCGATAATATGTTTTAAAATTCAAAAGGTTAGATGACCTAATCTATGATGCTAGTTTGAAAAGGTGGCTTTTATACAAGAAAATGCAAGAATTGGAGAAGACAACGACTTAGTCATCAACCATTCATACACTCTATCCTTAGTGTTGCCTTACAAAAGAATTTTTCTCAAACAAAGATTCTTCACTTGAAATGAAATTGGTAAGAATTCAATAGATACATCATTGTTATTGCAAAATTGAAAAACTAAAATTAAGTTTGTTTTCATGTTTAGGATACAAAGCATATCACTTGATGTAAATATAGTTTTAGAAGTGGGAAGAAAAATGGAATCGGTATGAGTAATTAAAAGACCCATGCCATCTCTAATCATAATGTCGTCGAAGCCATTGTAAGGTACAAGTCGTAATAAGTTGCTTGAAGTTTGTTATAACATAATGAGAAACACCACTATCAAACAACCACTTTTGGTTGTTAGGGGCAACATTGGTAATGGAATGAGCACTAGGCTACCAAGGTGTTGGTGGAGTGTTAGATGGTGGCACATATCTTGAGTTTGATGGCTAAATTGGCACCGATTGGAAGGGCGGATATTGCGTAGTTGTGTGTCCTTGAATACCACATATCCGGTAATAACCCAAATATGGACTTCATCAACGATTGCCACTAAGTGGATTGCACGAGTTATTGGATACTAGAGGGCAAGAGGGCAAGCGAGTGAAATGTTGAATTCGACGGAAAAACAAAGAAAAAGATGCTCGATAGCAATGTTAGAATAATTAAAATGGTGTGAATTGCATATATTTCTTTATCGATGAAACATAGTAAGAAACTAATCTTCTAAAAATTTGAATTATCATTGATTTGAATTTGTAAGTCAAATTAATATGATTATATCTAAATTTGAATTACAAATCAAAATTCAAATTAATAATTATATTTTATTTGAATTTATAATTCAAATCAATGATAATGATTACATTTGATTTGAATTTATAATTTGTAACTCAAATTAGTGATAGCTATCATCTAATAGTATCATATCTCACTTGCACCTAGGTTTATCTTAGTCGTTCTTTCACCACATATACACACACACACACACACATATATATATATATATATATATATATATAAAATAAAAGCAGATTCATGGCGTCCTAAGCTTAATACCAAATTCTATAAATACATAAAAACCACAAAACCAATGGATCATGTACCATTTTGTATCTAGCTAACCCTGATTTCCTTTCAGCAATGAACAATATTTCCTTATCATGCACGAGTCTTTTGGCATTTTAATTGTATTGTATGCATGGAATATGAGACGTCGCATGAAGATTTCATGTCTAATTTATTATTGAGAAGATACTGTGTAGATGCAGCTAATCTGTCACTTGATTAGGTCGTTTGACCTTTTAATTATTAACAATATATTGACCTAGTTTTTGTCTTTGGTAGTAAGGATATTTGGAATTCAAATATCTTATACCGACATTAAATTTCTCTTGCATTATATATATCTTAAGCAGGTCATCTGTATCTGAATAGATTACCTTTATAAGAAAATTAATTTCTCTTGGATAATAACGAGGAGAACATACCTACTTACTAACCATGCAAGCCTTCGAAGGTTCTAGTTTTGTCAGCTAATACCACATGATCTGCAAGTGGCAAGTGCCATGACCAATTAATAATTCGATCGGAAGGAGAAACCGATAAAGTTTAAAGAGATGGAATGGTTATATATGGAATACATGCATCACAATCTGGAAAGGTTCTGGTTATGTGATCTCCGGTGGACATCCATATATATCATAGTACTTTTCAACCACTCTCTGCATACCATTTGTCTTTCGTAACGAAATGAAATGTTCTTGAAAGACCATTTCAACAACAACTTCACCTTCTTGGCTTATTAACAACTCCATTCACTCTGTATCTGTCCTTCTATAAAGAGCATGGACCCATCCAAAATCTTCATCCTCAAAATCCTAGACTTCCATTATACTCTATTCAAGATGTTCAAGGAACCATCGGCTTCCAGTCTACTTGCTTTGCTCATTGCTTTAGCACATGCAGCAGCAACATGTGCTGCAGTTGAACCTGTAGCAGCAACCGGGGAAGAACCAATCCTTGAGTTATATATGCATGATATTCTCGGTGGCAGCAACCCAACAGCTAGGCCGATAACCGGCTTGCTTGGTAACATATACAGTGGCCAAGTGCCCTTTGCAAAGCCATTAGGGTTTGCCCCGCCAGAAGGTGTAGCCATCCCCAACGCCAATGGCGCCATTCCAACTGTTAATGGCATAAATGGTATCCCACTGGGAACTGGTTTAGCTGGCACTACTTTCGCAGGAGAATCAACTGGCCAGAACCCCAATGGTAATCCTCAAACCCAATTAGGACCTGATGGGTTAGGGCTTGGATTTGGAACGATAACTGTTATTGATGATATACTAACCTCTAGTCCTGAACTGGGGTCACAGTCTGTTGGCAAAGCTCAAGGTGTGTATGTGGCAAGTTCAGCAGATGGGAGCACTCAGATGATGGCTTTTACAGCTATGTTTGAAGGTGGTGAATACGGTGATAGCCTTAACTTTTATGGCATCTACAAGATCGGAAGCACCATGTCACGTCTGTCAGTGACTGGTGGCACCGGTAAATTCAAGAATGCTAGGGGTTTTGCAGAGGTCCGAGCACTCATACCTTCTGGTCAACATTTCATAGATGGTGCTGAGACATTGCTGAGGTTTACAGTCAATCTAAGCTACTAAGGACTTGTGGAATTTGAGTTGTTTTCTTGAAATGTTTGTGAGGATGGCTTCCTAGTTTTTCTGTCAATTTATCAAGTCAAAAGACTTTTTTTCCATTTTTGTATTTCCATCAATCTTTCATTTTGCAATTCTATTGTAAAAATCTTGCAACGTTCTCTTGGAATTTGATGGCATATAGAAGACAGTTTTCATGAACTCATAACAAGTGTGCCTCTCCAGCTATGCGGTAAAATGCAACTACTTGGATGGATCATATCCAACTGCGGTATACATACAGCCCTCAACAGCTGATGCAATGTTCTGTATTTGATACATGGATGTATATTCCAAGCATGCTATCAGCCAGAGTGGAAAAAAAGCTGGAAAGAAAATATGTTCGTGTAACATCAAACTAATAAAGAACTTATGCCAGAAGAATTTTATAGGGAAGAAGAAATGCTGGCAAAAGATATTCATGATACATCCAACTAATAAAGAACTTATGCCAGAAGAACTTTAAAAGGGTTTAAAAAAAAAAAAAAGTTAAAGAAGTTGTCATAAAGCAATCCAACTAATAAAGAACCTATATATGCCATAAGAATTTTATACCTGAATCAAGAATTTAAAGGTTGAACTTTCATTCCAACATATCGATTAAAATTGAAAATAAACCGTTCAAGTATCCTAAGAGTCATCAACTCTTACCCCAATGTTTTAGTTAAAATTGTACAGGCTGGTGAGCCATGTCTTTCTGTTCGTTGATGGACTTGAACCTTTCATCCCTCTCCAACATTGCCCAGGAGGAAAACGAGCTTGAAAAGAAATAACATATTACAGCATATCCATGGAATTTTAATAAATATACTTAATAAACTATGACTGTAACTAAGCTTTTTGATTTTCAGTGATTTTTTTTTATTTTGTAATTTTTTTTTAGGTCATTAAGGATTTATCTTATTTGATTTTTGTTCATGCAAATAACATTTTTTTTTTTGGCTTTTAGTTATACTTAAACAAAATATATAGTTAAGCTTTTTTGGTTTTTGGTGATTTTTTTTCCTTTGTGTTTTTTAATTTTGGTCATTAAAGTTTGATCCTATTTGATTTTTTTTTAATGTAAAGAACATTTTTGGGGGGTTTTAGTGATGCTTAGACAAAATAGACTTTCATTGTAGCTAAACCACTTTTGACTTTTAGTAATGTTTTTGTTTTGTTTTAATCCCTATTTTGTAATCTTTCTTTTATTTTCATTATTAAAATTTTATCGTATTTAATTTTTGTCCCCAAAAGAACACTTTTGGCTTTTTGTGAAACTTTATGTTCTGTTTTGCTCTTTATTTTGATATATATTTTTTTCATTTTGGTCATTAAAATTTTATGTTTTATTTTTATTCTTACTACACTATACTTATTATGCTAAAACTAAATATGGTTTTACTAGCCTAAGTCTTTTTTTTTTTACTTTTAGTAAAACTTTTCTTTTTGTTTTATTTCATGTTTTGTGATCTTTTTATTTTATTTTGGTCATTAAAATTTTTATAGTGTTTGATTTTTTTTATGCTTTATGCATGATGAGTTTTTTTTAGTCATAAGTTATTTTTGGCTTTTAGTGAACGTTTTCTTTTTATTGTGGTCCTTATTTTATGATTTTTATTTTATCGTGTGTAATTTTTATTCTTATCTTTTGCTAAATGGATTTTGAAATATTTCAATTCATCTCGAATTTGACAAAGTTTTTTTTTTTTGTTGTCTTTTTATTTTGAGTGGTCTATCTCTATCTCATGAATATACTATAGATGAAGAACATATAATGGAAGCATCCAAAATTAAAAAAATTATAACATCATTATTTTAATGATCAATTATTATACATATATCTAATAAAATCCATGTTTACATCAAACTAAATTTAATTACCAACATTATATAACTTAACTTTACAATTTTTTTTAAGCTAATCCTATAGCAATGCACGGAATATATGCTTTAATCCCTCTATTTTTTGAATTTTTTTTTTCATATGATCCATGCAAATAATTATTTTGAACTCAGTATTTTATATGGAAGAATACATAAGAATGTTGTATGGCTCATCCATCCCGTGACAATGCACGGGATGTATGCTAGTGTTAGCTATAACAATGCCAAAATAAGGATATTTTATTCAAATGCTTCAAGCAAATTTCTCAACAATCACCCACTCCAGATCTAATCTTAGGAGGGTTCAACTGACCAATTATCACCTATTTGCACCAATTCCACTATGTAACAATGAAGCATGACAGAAGAACTCTAAAAAGGCAGAACCTCATTATTCCAAAGATTGTATCTTATGCAGATATGTTTGAGAATACCTAATGATGGCTCATAGAGTTTTGGGTGCGTATCGAAGGTTGAGGGAAGATTCTATTTTACAATCGAACATAAGAATGAAATTCATCAGTCATTGTCAGCAAATTCTGTTTACCTTTCCAATTTACAGGATTTGGTAATTAAATCATTTGCAAAACATTTTGATCAATTCAGAAAAGAATGTCCAAAGAATTATACAGTTGCACTTGAAATGAACTCCAAAAGAGTTACAAACAAGCACTAACCTATCATGCTGTTATCTGCGCAGGGCAGCAAATATTTTTTTATCATTAGCATAAACATGGTCCAAACTAGCAGCATAAAAAGGCCAGCCAACATGGTTTCCCTGAAACGGGGGCCTTGAAGGGAGAACTCAGAGCAAGGGCAAACTCGCATAAACCAATTATTTGCGAACAGCGTCAACCTAAAACTAAATCAGTTGAGGGGAAAAGACCAATGATTTCAAATGGGTGTATGTGATCAGTTGAATTTTGTTAGTGATACATAATGTTTAAGAACCTACTGTACATCAGACTCTACTTCTGAGCATTAGCTATACTTCAAAAAAAAAAAAAAAGAAGGAAGAAGAAGAAGAAGAAGAAGATATACCTAAAACAAATGACTCAAACTTCCCATAAGACCATAACTAACACACTTCAACAGCTTCACCATCTCTGAAGCCTCACAAGTCACAACCACTCCATCTCAGTCTGTTCATAATCTCTATTTAAAGAGCATTAACTACAAACCAGTTGCAGACTCCTTCAAGAATCCTTCATTCACCAAATCTGTTAAAATTCCCACGAACCTCAACTACAAAAATCACAAGATGCTCAAGCTATCATCTCCACATTTTTTCATTGCAGTGCTAATTGCTATCCTACACACAACAACAGATGTGGCCGCCATAGCAGCAGCTGGAGAAGAACCCGTTCTTGAGTTGTACATGCATGACATTCTAGGGGGAGTAACCCTACGGCAAGGCCAGTCACTGGCTTGCTAGGGAACATATATAGCGGTCAAGTGCCCTTCGCAAGGCCAATAGGATTCCTTCCTCCAGATGGAGGAGTAGCCATCCCCAATGCCAATGGTGCACTTCCAACCGTTAATGGTCTCAATGGCATTCCACTAGGAACTGGCTTGGCTGGTACAACTTTTGCTGGACAGCCTAACAGTCAGAACTCAAATGGTCAGATCCAAACCCAACTTGGACCAGACGGATTGGGACTAGGCTTTGGAACAATTACTGTCATTGATGACATCTTGACCAACAGCCCTGAATTAGGGTCACAACAGCTGGGAAAAGCTCAAGGAGTTTATGTGGCTAGTTCTGCAGATGGGAGCACACAGATGATGGCATTTACAGCCATGTTCGAAGGGGGAGAATTTGGTGATACCCTAAACTTCTATGGAATATTCAAGGTTGGTAGCCCAATGTCACGTTTGTCCGTGACGGGGGAACAGGAAAGTTTAAGAATGGTATCGGGTTTGCTGAACTTCGAGGACTTATCCCATCAGGTCAAGTAGTCACAGATGGTGCACAGACATTACTGAGGATCACGGTCCATTTGAAATACTAAGAATACAAGTTATTTGGATTAAATGTTGGTTTGTTGATGTGAAAATTAATGTGGTCATGGTTTGTGGTTTCTCTTGGTTATTGGATTCTCATACTGCAAGATTTATCAGATGTTGTAGTTGAAATGGCGTGAATATAGGAAGAAAATTATGTGAATCATGGTTGATTTTCCCTATGAATATCAAGATTTCCTACTTCAATATCTGTATATCACCAGAAAAGCTAAACAAATTGCAAAAACAAGAAAGAGAAAGTAAACAAGAATGTAAACCAATAGTAATGACACTCTTTTGTCTGTGTTCAATAGAGAAATCAGAATCCAACCTGGTGGCTAGAGGTACAAATCTAAAGAAAAACTTTACAAAGTTCACGCTTTTCTGAAACACTAAGTTTATGCTTGAGATGACAACAATAAAAAGAGTAGACAGGAACTTTCTTTAATGACTGGGTGACTCAGGAAAAGTAATGGTAATATGCCAGAACTCCAACGAAGAAGTACCAAATCAGCTTATTTTCTGCATAAATTTAATAATTTCTTTATGAACAATTGCAGCAAACCAGAGACAAGGATCCTCGCAGTTTAAGTTTTAAACAGAAAATCAGCATCTCTCTCCCAAAAGGGAGGGGAAGAGGAAAAACAGTCCCAGGCAACAGTTTAGAATCTACACAAGATGACAGCAGCTCATTGTTTCTAGAAAACTGTAAGTTATCAGATTATTGCCGGATAAAAAAGATGTATTGTGGTTAAAGTATTAAAGATCGATCAGTTATCTTATCACTGATCTATGAGCACTATATGCAGCTCAAAACCTCAAATAGGTTGTTTAATTATTTGACATACCATCTTTATACAGCTCCTCCAGCACCATCACAGGCCAGTAATCTTTAAACGAGAAGATACAGCAGCTTGATCAAGATTATACAGGGAATCGATCAAGTGCATTCGCAGTGAAGCTGGACCATTGGCCATGTCCATTCCGATTTCTCCAGCAATACCAAATATGGACAATGCTGAAGCTGTTGCTTCCAAAGCATGCAACGGATCGACAGCAACAAACCCAGCAATGAGGGCAGTGACAGCACATCCTGTTGCTGTGATCTTTTGCATCATGGGGACTCCATTATAAGCACCAACAATTCGGTGGCCATCTGTAATGATATCAACAGCGCCTGATACTGCAACTATGGCCCCACTTGATTGAGCCAAGGACTTCGCTGCTTCCATTGCACCCATTGACTCGTGAGAGCTGTCTACACCCTTGAAATGAAAATCATGAAGCTGAAATGAACATAAAACCCCAAAAGAAATTGGCAGAAAATTGAAGACATGTAATAATAATCCAAGAGAGAACAATTTCAAGCACGGTAATTCAAGTTTTGACAATGGTGCTCAATCGATCTTTTATAAATTTATGTATAAGGGAAAATACAATACCTTGGAGGCTCCTATAGAAGCCTTTGAAAGAGCAATAATCTCGGACCCATTTCCTCTAATAACACTGGGCTTCAACCCCACAAGCTCCAAACAAGCATTCAACCGGAAACCAGAAGCTCCAGCAGCAACAGGGTCAAGAACCCAAGGCTTCCCTGCTTTAGTAGCCACCTGAGCAGCTTCCCTCATGGCTGGCAACCAGGCAGGAGAGAGTGTGCCCACGTTAATACAAAGCGCGTGGATATTAGGAGTGAAGTCTTGAATTTCTTCTATAGAGTGGATCATGGCTGGTGAGGCACCAGCAGATAAGAGTGTGTTGGCCATCAGATCCATCGAAACAAAATTGGTGATGCACTGGATGAGTGGTGACTGGTCACGGATTTTGGAGAGAAGGGTACATGCTTTAAGGACCCACGAGTTCTTGTCTTGTTCTTTGTTGAGGTTGTTGGGTTCCATGGATTTCTTTTATGCTTCTATCTCTCTGTGTATCAAAAGACTGCTTATTTCTGATCGAGTGTTGTTTGTTTTGGAGGTGTTGGTGCTGCTACTTATGGTTTTTCTGGATGGCCGAGAAAAACTAGGGAGTTGGGAGCGAAAGAGTCGGGTTCACGTAACTAGCGGCCGCCGGTGGGGGGTGCTGGGTGGTGGTGGTGGTAGTGGTAGTGTGGTTGGGTTGGGGGGTGACTATTGTGCTGTGGCCTGCGGCTGCTGAACCGAAGATTGGGAACCACTTTTTTAGACCAAAGTACAGATAAGTCCCTAAGAATGATATGTTTTGCAAATCAGCCCTAGGTTCAATCTAAATTGACATCAAACGGAGTGTCGTTCGTTTGTGATTTCAAGTAACCGGAGCTTTGGCTGCCAACTAGTGCTCTAGTGAGTGCTAAAGATTGGATTTTTATTCATACAAATATTCTAAGTGATGATCTTGATGTAAATGCGGTGAGTCAAGGAAAAAAAATCGAAGAAAAAAGCAAATCTTCTCAATTTACTAATCTATTAGTAAGCTTTTGGGTTATACCTCCCAAATTATATATAAAAATAAAAAAATGAGTCTTTTTATTAAAAAAGATGGTTTAAAGTCGAGTAGAAATGTGTGTAGAACATTGTAACAAGTTAAATTGGAGTTTACTTTTGAATAAATATTTGTCTTAATTAAAAACAGGTGATTCGATGGGGATTTCATGCGAAATTTACCTTATATAACCTAGTTCAAGGTTTTAATTGTTCAACTAAATTAAATTAAGCTATTTATAAACTGAAACATAAAATAATCAAATAAGATATTCATAACACAATCTTTCTGTTTTTGAGGAGGAATTACTCAGTATATTTCAAAGCTTTCTTGAAAAAATTATGGAATTCATGGATTATTATCATAATAAAATCTTATGTTTTTTTGAAAAAAAAAAAAAACAAAGTATAATTACCTAGAGGCATGTAATAATTTTAAAGTTTTTGAGAAACCCAGAAACCGAAACACAAGGCACACAACACAAGCTCATTCCCCTTCCCACAAATATAAAATACCAGAAAACACAAACAGGCCAAAGATAGCTTTTCCATTTCCATAAAAATGCAAATCCCACAACAGCCACCACCACAGCCATTCTCCTCCTCCTCCTCCTTCTCCTCCTCCTCCTCCTCCTCGACAAATGACAACACCAAAACTACACTCTCCATAATTCTAACCACCTCCTTTTTCTCCCTCCTCTTCATTTTCACCCTCTCCTCTTACTCCCTCTCCACCTCCTCCATATCCACCCACCCCCGACCCGACCCCTATCTCTTCCCCAATCGCCAACCCACTTTAACTAAAATCCCTTCTGATCCGACGCCACCATCCATCGCCTACTTGATATCGGGGTCCAAGGGTGATTTGGATCGGATCCTTAGACTTTTGTATGCCACTTACCACCCCAAAAATCAGTACTTGCTCCACTTAGACCTCTTTGCTCCACAAAGTGACCGTGACCAATTAGCTCTCACTGTTCAATCCGTGCCTATTTTTAAAGCTGCACAAAATGTAAATGTGATAGGGAAGGCTGATTTTGCTTACCCAAAAGGGTCTTCTGCCATTTCAGCCACACTTCATGGTGCTGCTATATTGTTGAGGTTGTCAAAGAAATGGGATTGGTTTGTTAATCTTGGTGCTGGTGATTATCCACTTGTCACTCAAGATGGTAAAAGTTTTAAACTTTTTTGGTGGCGTTTGTGTTTTTTTTTAAATATATTTTTAGTTTTGCCTTGGTGGTTTATTGGGTTTGTTTTTGGATATATGATGTGAGGTTTTGTTGGTTTGAATGTTCTTTGGTTTGACATAAAAAGTTCTTGTCTCTGTTTTTGTGGGTTTTGCAGATCTTCTTCATATTTTATCCTATTTGCCTAAAAATCTCAACTTTGTCAACCACTCAAGTTACATTGGCTGGAGAGAGTATGTGAAACTGACTTTAAGACTTATTGTTTGTTTTTCGGATCATGCTAATGTGGTTGGTTTTCTTAAGGATTTATGAGTTGCATGTGCTGGTTTTGTAGGATTAGACAATTGAAGCCAATAATTGTTGATCCGGGGCTTTACTTATCGGAGAAATCTGATATGTTTTATGCTAGTCAAAAGCGAGATTTACCTAATTCTTTCAGGCTATTTACAGGTGTGTTTTCTTCTATTGTTTTGATATTTCTTTTAGATGCATTTTGCACAGAGCTACTCCGTAATGTTAGTTGTCATGGACAAAGAAGAAACATTTGAGTTTAACATGCGTGCCGAATGCCTGTGAACTGGTTTGGATTGTAAACATGGATATATATTTTGAATTAGTGGGAATAGCAGATTAGAAGCGAAACTTTTGGTTAACCACATGAATTAGATAGTGATATTTCGATGGTTTTGGATGACATTCCAGGAATTTTTTTTTTTTTTTATCAAACTTTGTTGTTTTTTAATAATTCCTCACCCATTTCAGTCTTGAGAAAGTTTTATTGCTCAGTAGTATGGCTCAGGCAATTTAAGTTGCACTATTATAAATTCACAGGACGACACCCCCATTTCCCAATTAAACATTGCTTGATGGTTGAAATGAACCAGATAAGTTAGTGATTGCAGATGCAATTTTAGCATTACCCTGGAGCTGTCAGGTTATAGGATTCGTGTATTCAAGGAAGTATAACAGTCTCGCCTCTGCTGTTTGATGGAGTTAGACAGAGAATTTAACCTTTTAGAATTCCTATTTCAGGGAAGAATGATCCTCTTGTCTCTGTTCTTTGATGGAGAGTTAGACAGAGAGCCATCAATTTAATTTCTTTAATTTGTTAGTGGTAGTACAACATAGTCAGGTTCAGATCAATGTGCTCCTTATTGAAAATTGGAATAGCAGATGGAATACCCTATCAAAGATTCTCATCCATGATTTTGGTGCCTCACAATCTGATGCAGTTTTACGTAACTACTAGCAAGCCAGTGGCGATTCCAATTTCCTCCTGGCAAGTAGGTAGACGGTTTCTCACCTGTTGATGGTGTAGTATACAAAACCTTAAATTTTCCATAAAGCTAGTGCATATTCTAAGTTTGTATGAGTTCTGTCTACTTCTATGGAAAACTTTGGTTAATAATTTACCAAAATGCTAGTTGCTAGGTGAATTCACAATATTTGAAGATAAAATGATAACTACAAGGCCTTTTTGGTTTCACCCCTAACACTGTTGATTCCACTGTTGATGCCAATGGGGAATTAATTTGGTGTGTCATTTATACTAAGGGTTTTGCAAGAGGATTAGTTCAATATCAGGAGTTTGAGTAAGTTGGCAGTTTTAAGCTTAACCAGTTGGGAGATTTAAACTGATGATTTTGTTGAGAGAAGGTGGATCGTTAAAATTTTCTGTCTAACATCCTTAGGAACTAGCTATCGTCAAAATTTCCTGTAACATCCTTAGGAACTAGCTCGATGATTGGTTTCTGTCGTGCAGATGAAAGAACTGGACCCAGTAATTGCCCGTATGTTTTTGAAATAAGTGGAAAAGGATAGAAATGAAAAATATTGTATTATAAAAGGGCAAAGGGAAAATCATATCTCAAAATATTAATTTTGAAACCCCATATAAATTGTGAAATTCAATAGGTTGCTTATGGTGAAAATTTTCTCTTCATGGAGCTTAACAACCTTTCTCAAGTCACACCATGTTGCTATGTGAAGTTTGTTTATTGCTCCTTTCTTTCATAAAAGCATTACATCCTATAAAATAATACTCCCTTTAATTTGAAATTCTTTTGCTTATTGGACAAACTATCAAAAAAAAAAAAATTTATTGACACTACCTTTTGTATTCCCTGCAGGAACTTCTTTTTCGATTGTAACTCGAAATTTTATAGATAACTGCATCTTGGGTGTGGACAACCTTCCGAGGATCCTATTGATGTATTTATCAAATACACCTTCATCCCTAATCAACTATTTCCCAACAATCATATGCAATTCTCATCAGTACAATAGGACTGTCATAAACCATAACTTACAATATGTAGCCTTTGAGAAGCCTTCTAAGAAGGTGCCTCGCACACTTAATTCTAGTGAATTTGATGCTATGATTCTGAGTGGAGCAGCCTTTGCCTCTCAATTTAAGTTAGATGATCCTGTGCTTGATCGCATTGACCAAGATGTTTTGGGGCGAAATCCTGGTGAAGTTGCACCTGGTGGCTGGTGCTTGGGTGGTGAGCCTGGAAATGTAACATGTTCTGTTTGGGGTGATGCTGATGTTTTGAGGCCTGGCACAGGAGCAGCAAGACTTCAAAAACTAATTGTTAGATTGCTGTCAAATGGTGAATTTCACTCTCGTCAATGTATAATTGAATGACCTCAACCGTCATTCACATGGAAAGCAAATAGAACAGTAAGTAAAAGAGAGAAATATAGAAAAAGCGGAGGGGTAAGATGAGAGACCGACCTTTGCCATTTTAAAATTTTGTAAAAAGTGTAATTCAATCTGATTATTTCTTAGAAATGATAATTTTTTTGTGGTTCCTTCAAGTTGATATCGATGTAGAGTGAAATTACAATCCATCAGTTGTTGGAGCTAACCGCAATGTTTCTTTTCAAAAATATCTTGTTATTGATGATATTTATATTGCCATAGGGGCAGATGCTTCTATAAGAAAGAAAGTGCAATTGTGACCATTTCAGGACTGGTGGTAATAGGCTTGTTCATGGAGATGCTTAAAAGAGATCAACTAAGTGATCCTAAGCTGATGCTTCTAAATGAACTTGCTTTTTGTCGTTCAATCAAATGCCCCTTGGCAACGATGATTCTACTTAATGTTGGAGGACTACTTGTATAAAACAAGGGCTGACCCTGTAGAGATCTTCTTCCCCTTTTCAATTGAGTAATTTGCAGCATAAAATGTAGCAACCTTTCGGGAAGATTGTTTGATGAGGTCGCCAACCAACAAAAAATCAATTTGCTTCTCCATTGCTATTAAGAATGCTAATGTTTTAAGAGCGACTGTCAAAAACAACTAATGAAAAGGATTCCTGATATACATTCAGAACTAACACAGATTTTCCATTAGTTCTGAATTCTGATAGAGGATTCATTTCTTGCATCTTTTCAGAGCTTCTCCTTTTTCTTTTTTTCTTTTTTTTTTTCCGCATTCATCCATAGAAATCACTGAAATCCAATCCAATCACAGAAGGGAAAACTACAAGGCAAACTATTACAACCTACTAGTATTAACTAGTAACTACCTCAGAAATTTGCTGGGCTGTCGTCCAGTTGTTTTTCATCTTCAATATCTACCTCCAAAATTTCCTGGTAAGAGAGAATAAAAAAAAAACGTCTCATTTCATTACCAAACGAGCACCATATCGCTTCTTTTTTGTTCTTCAATTGCTATAAATAAACTCACAGGGATTCTCTGCTTCAAGTAGTTGCCCATTCTTGCAAGAACCATGGAACGTTCATGCCAAAATCGCCCTTTGAGACTAATCTTCACAAATGGTCCATCCAATTCAGCAAGTTCAACTTGTCCTAATTACATGTTCCATTTCACATTTTTAAACCACGTTACAGAAATAATATATTAGTAGAGAAATGAAGTCCATATGTACCTTAAGAGGGGTCACCTGTTATGCCTACTGAGGTGTCAAAAATCTGTCCAAACTGCAAAAACACACATCCTACCATTTTCAGGCTTCCTTCAAATCTTAAAAGAAATAATAATAAAACTCACACAGACAAGAAGAACAAAGAAAATTTCATCCCAGAAAGATCACTATACTTGCCTCAGCTCGAGCATCAACCAAGACCTGCTTAACATTTTCTTCAGTCAGATCAAGTGGAGGCGGTGGCACACCTGCGGCTGCTGCTGCTGCTGTTATTGTTGTTAATGGTGATGATTTTGTATTTGGTCTGGGTACTAGTGGCAGCATTACCAGTTTAGATGCTGTCGGCCTTCTCCTCATTGGTGTTACGAGGTGGTCTTTGTCTCTGGTATTGGCATCGACACTGTAAGTGCAAGGAGAGAGGAGCCGCGATGTTCTTTCTGCAGGTACGTGATAGTAGTGACCGTGAAGAAGAGAGATCACCTCTATTGACATCTTAATTTGCCTGTGTTTCAACCTTCTTTGCTTTCGTTTGCCGAATGTAATATTGACCGAAGAGAGTTGTGATAAAATGGATTTGGATAGCTTCGCTGTCGTGGACATTTCTGGACCATCCAAATACACTCCTTTATTAAAAATCCTTTTGAACGCCTTTTCCATTATCAATATATATATATATAACAGCTCTTTTAAATCATTTTTGGAGCAATATGTAACCTTCTCTGTAAATCTCATTGTAACTTATTGACTCATATTCTGGTAATTTAGATGAAAAAATTATCATTTGGAACCAGACGATATTTTTGAGAGAATGTTTAAGATGGCAAATACTCAAGCAAACCGTTACAAAAATAGTCCAGTTATGGTATTTAAAATAAGCAGTAAATGCTTAAATCTTCCATCATACAGTAACCAGTTAGTAGTTTCTCATAGCTATGGTGGCTTCAGAACCTTTTTCTTTATTTCAGCAACCACCTGTGTTGCCTTTCACCGTGCTTCAAAGGGATTTGACTTCATTAGATCCTTGTGATGAAATCAATAGGAAACTTCAATTTAGTCATTCTCAATTGCATCTCAAACTTATAAATTTTATCGATTAGATCCTACTAGCCCAATACCCGTGCGTTGCTGCAGATAAATCTATTATATACTATGTTTTAATATTTTAAATAATTCAAAAATATAAGCATAAAATAAAAATAAATTAACACTAATTATAAAAATTTATTTAATTTAATATGTATTATGTAATATTTAATAATATATATAATTGATTTTAAATATATATTAGGAATATTTTTTATTTTGATAAAAGAAAAAAACATGCAATTATTTATTTATTTATTTTAAAATCAAATTAGAAGAAGGTGCTTAATCAATTTATATTAGAAGAATGTTTAAAAATAAAAAAAGTAACTATTAATTATGGAAAAAAAATTATTTTGAGCAAATAATAAATAATGAAAAAATAAACCTAATCCCAATCAAAAAGTATAAAGACCTATTTGTAATGCTAATTAACATAAGGAACTATTTTATATAAATTAATAACTTAGAGGATCAAAATATAAATAATTAGATAGACAAAAAATAATTATTTTTTTTTTTTTGGGGAAAAACCACTACAATGGCACACCATTTAGTTTTAGTATAAAGTGTAATATGTTTACTACATTTTTCAAATGTATCCTTTTATCAATTTATTTTAAAAGTTTACGTCTAGTGTGATATTTTATGTACTAAATTGGTGTTGATTTTTTTAAAAAAATATTTTAAGCACTAAATTGATGTTGATTAAATAAAAAAAACTGGCATAAAAGTAAATGAATATTAACATTCTCAATCTAATGTGTATATTTATGCACTAAAATGACATTAATTTGAAGAAAAATTGACAAAATTGTTGATGAATATTAATAAAAAAAGACTTAGGTTAAGAATTTTTTTTATTTTTTTATTTTTGAAAAGTTTTGAGATCTAATTGATCAGATTTATAGATTTGAGACTCAAATGAAAATGAATATATAGATTTGGAACTAAATTAAGGTTTTCTCATATGGATATTGAACCACCAATGTTCTGTTTGCCATATCACTGTTCCGAAAACATCAAGCATCTGAGCCTGCGTATGTTTAGTTCCGAGAGCCATGGCTTTGCTCCTAGCTGAGCACCTTCAATTAATGCTTTTTGAGCACATGAATATATCTCCCTTTGCTGTCTTTTCACAACATCATGATGGATATTAGTATCACAAATCCCAAAACAACTGCATATTTCCTTCAATCAAGGCATTTATTTTACCAGCAGCATGCTGGAGCGCATCAACAACACAAACTTGTACCTCTTTTTCCAGCCAAATGGAGTCACAAATGTCAACTTGCCTCCCTCATCAATAGCCACAGCAAGATCTCTCTCCATATATATATAATCTAGTTGTCTTTGTTGTGTGATTGGCAGATGACACATGATAGATCACAAATCGTTTCATGAAAAGATGAAATGGACTAGATATCGCACTTTCCCACCTAGACGATCTTCTAAAATTCCTTATAAATGGATTAGGTGTAGATCTCCTATCCCAACAAAGATACATAATTAACAACTGTAAGATGCAACTAATTATCTTAGTCCTTAACCTCGAATAATTAGCTTGGTACTTGGAAGGCTTCAATTCATCATGTCACCAAATTGTAACGGGAATAGTTGCTCCAACCCCAAAAATCATCCTTCTTATTTTGTGGGAATCGAACACTTCATTATTTATGAGTTGATTGGCATCCCTATTCAGGAATCTTCCCAATCCAACCAACCCAACAATATCACCACATGACACTTCCTTGATAGACATTTCTTTGGTAGCCACTTCTTGGTGCGTTCTTCTTCATGTTATCACAGTTTTGACCTTTGCAACATCCACATCTTCCATCACTTCAGTTACATGTTTGGGACCTAGCAAATACTCCAGGAAAAAAGTTCCCCAAAAATACTCGTCTAAATGCCACTAATCTGTCTTAATTTCTTTGTTGGAAGAACAATTTCTGACAAAAAGAAAATCATTGGCCCAGAAGAAACACACCTCCTCATTGCAATAGCATAGGGATCTTCAAAGGACCTTCATATAAGTTATGAACACGACAAGCTTGACCAACAATAAGAGAAGGAGACGCATAATCAATTCTAAAATTGCATGCTTCATAGGCACCCTTTCTTAGGGCAAACTTGCACATCGCCTTATTAGACATTTCGTTTCTCTCTTCTTCAGAAACCATTTCTTCAACTTAAACCACACATTCATAGTCATTATTATTATTATTATTATTTGTTCTTCTCTTCCTCTTCATTCGCTTCCTCCTTTTCTTTAACCTTTCCCTTCTTACAATTGTTTCAGTCACTTTGATTTGACTAAGTGAACATGGCCATCGCGTCGTATGAAAATCCCTTTCTGGGAGATGTGCAAGTTTGTTCTAGGAAAGGCAATGTCCTATTGTCATCTAGACTTCAGTAATATTCTCTCTTCCAGATTGTGTGAGATCTATCTTTTTTTGTTTCTAAGTTTGATTTTCTTTACTGTCTTTAAATTCTAACTACTACTTTGTCCTTATTTATTTATATTTTCTTTCATTTCTTTATTTTTCGGACGTATTTCTGTTTGTTTCTTATTGTTTTCTTCCTCCTTATGCTTGGTTTAATTATCTTCACTTATATATATACCATTGTTTCTGGTCCTAAGTTCAGTCTAGGGTTGTAAATTATAGAGATTCATGGGGGTTGATTTTAATATCATGCTCTCGATATATCAATGAAATGAATCAAAGATAACAAGTTTGCGATAAATGGAGCATGTATCAGAAACTTCTCTCTCACGACTCCTCTGAAAGAGCATTTATGAAATATAACAATGTGGATGACTAGGGATTCAGTAGTTTCTTAAAACCAAAGGAAGGGAGTGATAGGTTGTTTAGGTTTCATTTTCCTAAAGATGTCATATTGGAGAGAATAAAAAATCGGAGTTATCAAGTGATCAGGTTTGTAAGCAAAATAAGAGGGCAAAGTAAGTCGAATTCTTAACGTATCCTATTTTTGTTCGAGACCATCACTTTTACATTCGAAGGAGGCTATAAGGTGTTAACCACAAAGTTTATTGTCGCAATAACTGCTTTCAGCAAAGAAGACGAGACACATGGAGAGAGATCATTGGAGAGTACATTGACAACTATAGAGATCGTTGCACTAGATAAACCTTTTGAACACATCGGACAGCTGCTTGTGCATGATTTTAGTGGGGTGATTTTTATTTCCTTAATCAAGGTAAACGTTTTTCCGACGAAATTGTTTGAGATTTTTACTTCTTTCTCTCCAACAAAGATGGAATCCATCAATAATTTTTACAATTGCAATCGAATAAATTAAAGGAAGTGAATCAGAATTATGAAATGGATCCTAATTTCTCTGAAAAAAAAAACTTGAATATATAAATTCCTTCTAAAGATAAGGATATTGAGTGCATTGGTGTATTATCATATGTAAACTTTTATTTCATATACGCGCCATAGCCATAGCGATATGATGTTTTATGGAAATTTTATGGTATTGAAACACTAACTAATAATACTTATTCCATAAGAATAAGAGGGGGAAAAAATAAGCCTAAATGAAAATAAATGAATTCGTAGAATAAATATTGATAATTACTTGAGTATTTTAAAGTTTATGTGATGGTTTACCAGAAGAAGACAGCAAAATATTTTTATTTGATGTACTCATGGTATTGTATTTTGATCTATATTTATTGGTTTTGTGTTTTGTAAAAATAATTAAAAATAAATTATCGAGATTTATTGGGGAAAATGAAAACCCCCTGCTTTCTCCTAATTTTTCGAAACAAAACCGCGTAAAGGGGACACGGATATCTCAAATCCGTTATCCTCTTGAGGAAATCTCAAATTTAGGGTTTCATCAAAAGAATTCCAATTTAGTTCAGAAGAAATCGCAAATCTTCAATTCCTATACACATTAGCAAAACTCTAACCTCTTTCAACATCACAAAACCAGCCGAGTAGCTTGGTCGATCTTGTGTGCATTTTTTTCAAGAAAAGAAACCGAGAAGTCATTGATTGATAGAGCGATGCAATACAGAAATAGAAGCAGCAAACTCTCAGGTGCCCTAGAGATGCTTTCACTAGACCCTCTTCCATACAAAGTTCTTCTCGTTCTCGTTGTCATCTTGATCTCTCTTCTTGTGCCTTTAATACATTCCTCTAAGGCAAAAGGTGCAGAACATCGGATGACGGTCAAGTGGGTGCTTCCTGCCACGCCCATAACCATGTTGTTTATCATACAATTGTTATCATCAGCCAGAGGCTTCTTTGGGAAGCAACGGACCAATTCCTACTCGTCCTCCGAGAGAATCTCGCCGTTGGTTTTGGCTGTTTTGATCTTTCAATTGCTTGTTATGGCACATTACCAGTCATCCATACACCATAGATGGCCTGTTAGGTTTTAATGCATGTCTGTGTACGTCCTTCTTTGTACGTGTTTTTCATGCAATATTTTGTCTTGTTGTATTCTGTAGATTTAGGTTTTTTATTTGTACAAGGGATTAATTTGAATCGTATGGATTAGGATTTTGATTTTCTTATTTGTTCTTTACAGGAATATTAATGTTGATAAATCGTGTAGTCTAATAGTTCCACTAATTTCGTGTTCTAATAGTAATGCATATAGAGCTTGACATATTATGCTTTTTTGAAATTTTGGATTCTTTACGCCATTTTGTTTAATATTTATTGTATTGCGGTCTTCTGATTTTTAGGTCGTTTAATTTCCACGGCACTTTATCCAATTGATTTTTAAATTATTTAATTCGTGTAACTTGGGCAACGTTAGATAATTATATTTAGCAGAATTAAAACCCCAAATTTTGGTTTTCTACCTTAAATCACTGAATGGCAAAATGAGACAACAGGACAAAACGAGCCGTGTAGCATCTACGGTCAGAATACATTGAACATAGTTTTGCCCTAATCTGCTGGCTTTTTCTCACTTACATGCCATGAAATTAATGATGCGTTTGATGTGACGACCAACCAGCAAAATAGTGAAAACTACTCGTTTCATGTAAAATTGAGTCACAAAACAATAGCCGAAGTGTCAATTTCTTGCTCATAACAAGGGATTTAACTCTGCATCCTGAAAAAAATTTACAGGTTCATCCTGCCAAGTTTCAATTGAATTCTTTAATATAATTCGTCTTCCAAATAGCTGAATTATTACAATATAACTTACCCCTGATCTCAGTTGGGGTCTTGATATGAATATGACTCTCTCATGGTCATGGAGCTGCATGGCAGATATTTTGCTCTTTTTCATCAACTATACTTTTCCTAATTATAACTAAGGCTGCATGTCCAACATCCGCAGGCAGCAGTGCTCCATTATGGCTGCCTGAAAACTGTTTCTCTTGGTTCCCAAAAACTCATTAGAAGAAGCCAAAAAAAGTGGCAACAGCAAAAACAAGAAACAGCGCTCCACCCAAATAGCCAACCTGGTTGAAGGCAGAGTGAGTTGCTTAGAATACAGCATATGATTTGCAATGTTTTACAGTAACCTATAATGCATGGTTGTGGCTCTTACCAGCTTTTCTGAAATGTAGTTTGCAAGAAAGGCTCCTCCTAGAATCGCAATGGATGTCGCAACCAGGTGTCCAGCAATGGCTCCAGTTGCCACGCCCCATGGAGACTGCAAAAAGGAGAAAAGGGGATGCGATACTGTGATTGATTCTCAATTGCAAAGAGAATAACAATATTCTATATAGTCAACAGTTCATGAAATCGCACCTGAGCAGCACCGAGAGCAATTGTTGCAAGCATTGAGCGATCTCCCCATTCCTATAACCAATTATGATATGGTGAATTTGGAAACTTTGGTTCACAAAATAACACCTTTAACATTCACTGCCTCACAGTGAAGTTGCCAAATATTATAAGGAATAACTGTGCATGAAAATGAAAATCTACAACTGTATCCAATTGTTTATGCTACGATTTTAATAACAATCACAAGGTGCAATTGCTTAGTGCAGAGGTGAAGTCTCGAACTTAAAACTACAAAAGTACATAGTGGAGTGTTGAGAGCTAACACTTCATGCAAAAACCATACAGATGACCGTGTCTAAATTCTCCCTATCAAGGGGCCTTTACGTGAGACCATAATGCCATTAGAAGAACAAAAAGAAAAAGATAAAAGTATGGATGCTTACAGCAAAGAATACAAGGCTGAATGACTTCCACACAATCTCAAATGGATTTCTGAGCGGTTGTGAGACCTGTAGGCATTAAGAAAGTATCTGCTGCGTGAATTTTTAGGAAACAACCAAAGAAACAAATTCCAAGGACACAAAGCAAAATAATCATCAAACAAGAATAGCCATGCCTGTGCCTTTTGCAACTTACTCAGAATGAATGAACTAAATATATTCCCCAAAAGCTCAGGCTTCTGAGTTACAAGATTACCTTCTTTTTCACAAGCTCCTCAGCTTCAGCATATTCATCAAGTTCCGGACTACTTTTGTCACCAGTCTTAGCGTCATTTGATGGTAGATCCCATGCATCTTTTATTGATTTTAGCCCAAAGAACATGAGAAGAGTTACAGCTGCATATTCTCCAATTGGCAGGGCTGTTCATAGGTTGAAAAGATAAGACAAATGTTTCTGTTTCACTAAAGCCATTAATAAACAACACAAGCCAGTTAAGTGGACAGTTACCAAGACTATAACTTACTTGTTTGGAACTGAGCAGGCACTGAATTAAATATTCGTCCAATTACAACTGACAAGATTGTCATAAGTGAAAGAGCACCCATTGACCCCAGAAGAACCTGATCAATGATTTAAGACATTAAGCATTAACTGATATGAGATCATCATATCTAGAGACTATAATACATATGTACAATAAACGACCAGCAATCTTAACTTAAAAATGGTTGCTAAATAAGTGCTTCAGATTCATTGGTTCATGTTGAAATTGTGTAGAAATATCAAGATATAAATGTGTTTATCCAATGCAGAACTAAAGCAACAGATAGACAAGAAGATTCTGATCTCTGATCAGAAAGTTACTGAAAATACTAGATGAATAAGAAAACTGTACAGTGATTGCTTGAGATAAGCTTAGGATATGATCTATTTCATTGCTTTTAATCAGTCCCTTTGCACTCTGCCTCACACAAATGCATCCAGGAGCAGCTTCTGGTGATGATTAAGGTGCTAAGTCAAATCTATAATAAATGAGTTCTGCAGTCACCTTTCTGGAATTCAAGGACAAGTGACTACTTGTATTTGCTGATTAGAAGTGAATGGCAATGCCAATAGTGCCCACTTATTAGTCTCTCATTTTTTGATTTTTTTGTGGGAGTAAGCTGACAAGCTTCTAAGGGTTTTCAGAGTTTTATTCGCCCTAGGGAATAAAAACTATCATATTTATGACCACATTCAAGAAAAATGAATCAGAACAAACATTGAAGAACATAACATAAGCAATGCTGAAGTAACAGGGAGTGAAAGTTTAGGAGAAACATACCAATCCTTTCTCATATTGCATGGCCAAGAGTGCGGCAATAAAGAATGTCTGTCAACACATGAAAGTTAATTTCAGGCTCCAGAAATTTGGAAGTACAAATACGATGGATTGCGGGAACTGTACTGAGTGATGACTAGTAGTCTTTCGATAATTTCCTTCTGTTTGGAACTAATAGTCAACTACAGCAAGCAGATGGGTTCACTTTGTAAAAAACAAAATCCTCAAATAAGTAAAACATATCCCAACCGAACTCAACTCCAGACTGTACTGTCACTATTTTCACACATCAGCTAAATGAATCTTTCTCGTCAGTTTGTAGTACTTCCAATCACCATGCTTTTAATTAAATTAAAAAAACAAAAGGTTCTCATAGAATAAGATTTCCACCATTCATTTTTTACCATGAAGCAATAAACAAAAAGCCAGCTGAGAGCACAGAAAGAACAAGTCAAGAGCAAACATATTCATAATGTTGGATATTTCTGCTGTATTCATTACTCATGGAGACTAGAAGATCAAGTCCAATCTATCTCAGCAGAAGAGGCTAATGAGGTCGTAATGGACAGCAGATTAGCAGTTATCAGGCCTGGCTGCTGGAATGCAGATCATGCAAAAGGGCACTAGAACTTGGGGTGCCACAAACATGAAAATGTGCATGGTTAAACATCAATTACTTTTTTTTTTTTTTTTTTTTGACAATTCAAAGGTAAGTAGCACATATTTGTTACACGTTAAAGGTTGCCAAAGACTGCATCCCTGAGTGCCGAAAAGCATCCAGAGTGTACGCTTTATTTATTTGGTTCTAGTTTACATGCAGTAGCACCGAATTACAGTTGGCTTTCCTTTGCCCTTCAATTTTGGAAAACTGATTTGATAAAAAATTATTTCCTCTTATCTATATTTTTTTCAACCTAACAATTTTGGGAGGGTCCAAAAGTTTGTTTGCTTTAATTTTGTGGTGTAGTTCATAAAATTGCTGACATATTCTCAAATGAAAGTAAACAGTAGTAAGATGTTTCCCTAAAAGGTTGGAAGAGCAGATAATGTAAGAAAACTGTGGATATAGTAGTGGTCATTTGGTAAAGCAACAGTTAAAGCATGCCAGAGGTATCTTTAAGCCTAACTTAACATTTTGCTTTAGTTCACAGGAAATTTGGGCAATTGGATTGCATGCTTTAGGTCATAATTCATGTTTTCATTTCCCAGGTAAGATGGTATACTCTCCTTGTTCTCTACATTTTTTCCCCTTGTATTTCTTCTCCTTACATTTCCTTTATGGAAAAAGATTTGAATAAGAAAGAACCTTCTTTGACAAAACTTCTACTAAGAGAAAATGAATACTTTGAAAAAGTCAAGCCATCTAGCCATTGCATGCAGAACTTCAATAAAGTAAAGGAGATTATGAACTGAACTGTGTAACTTTGAAAAACAATGAAAAAAATCAACAGACATAGAATAAAGTTATAAATGTTAACTAGTTACCTTGTCCCCTATTTCGGAAACAAATATTAATGTGAATGCGGCAGTTAATCCTGACTTTGCGATTGCTGCTAAAATTGATGAAGGTCCACCTCTCACGAAAGCGATAAGTGAAAATACCAAAGCACATCCAAGTAGCACAATAGCTATAGATAGAGGATAAGGAATTTTGCTGGGTGGTTTTACACTGCAAATCATGAAAGAAATATGAGTAACGTCTGACTTAAAGTTGTCCATCCAAGGCCTCTGGCAATTTAGAGTTCAAATGCCCTGAGAATGCTAAACAAATTCAGAAACAGTCTGGTGACTGTTGAGGGTTATTAGACCAAAAACAAGTTCGGGTTTGAATTCATAATGACTAGCAAAATTGTGAAGTAGGTATATCCCCAAAAGATTTTTTTTCTTATTGATGTCAACATCATAAGATTTGCATAAAGGATAATAAAGGAGGTGCAGACATCTTTTCTTCATATTTCTGACAGTGAAAGGTCGCTATTAGCGGGGTTGGGATCATACAGCACTGAACAAAAAGCTACATATATCAGATTTAGATAACTTCTTCAACTGAAAAAGGCTGCCAGCTCCACTTTCTGAAAAAGCAACTATGTAATATAACCACTCGAGGATTCTTCTTCCATTTGTGCATGCAAATGTTGCTAAATATAAAATCGCAGACCATACATGTCTATAAAACTTGATAAATCCAATAGAGAAATTTATAGTACATCACAAAGGCTTAAACAACACAAATGTTTACCAGATTGTAGTTATATAAGTATCAGTATTTCATATCACTTACATGTCAGGTAAGTTGTCACCAGGACCATTGACGAAACTTTTCTGGTTGTCTTCCTCCTCACCCTCATAGCCTCCAGATCCTATACTAACATTGGATGCTTGTGCTCTAAATGTGCCGAATCTGGAATTCAACTTTGAGATCTCTCTGCATCTTACTATTAAAGAACAGTTACCCACGAAATCAATATCACAATCACTAACAATAGACATGATGTAAATGCATAGAATAAAAATAACAATATATTAACTACATGGATGGCATTTTTAGTAGTACAAGTAGGAAGTATTAACAAAGAATGTTTCTCCATGAACAACTTTAAAATCCAAAGAGATGGCACTCAATAGCCTCCATAATTATACCTCGATATTATTTCAGCCCGACTGTGTGAGTTGGAGAGTTTTACTTAATAGCACACAATGCACAGAGACAAAACATTGCAGCACAAATGGAAGGAAAAAGAGTGTTTAGAGATTCAAGCCACGAAATTTTCCTCAAAAGTTCTAGAAACTTGAAAATGCATCTTGAGAACATTTTAAGAGCATTCAAATGAAGACACGCTATTGCAAACAGATCCATCAGCTACCATATTTGATCCCCAAACATAGTCCAATGCTCAATTGTGTGGCTCATAATGGATTGCCAAGAAGATATTCTAGTTCAATATATTTGAAGATACATCCCTAAACACTGTACAAACTGGTGACTACAATTACCCTGCATGGTAACTACTGTCCAAAGACAACCATCCAAACGCCCCGCAATAGTTTAAATGCTGTTCATTTTTTCTCTTTCATCATTTAGCATCCAAGATTGATTAGTTTCCACTCACTCAAAACCCTTTAGTTTCTCTAGAATGCTAGAATATAATGATGACTAATCTATACTAACTAAACAGCAAGCAATAGTAAAAGAAATCACATCTATAACCCCCAAAAAGACTTCTACCTTTGAATAAACCAACCATGGTGTTCACGGTTTTTAGTCCATGGTGCATATATGAACTTTGACCAAGAGGAACTCCTACTAGAATCCTAGGAACGAGTTTTCAAACATCAGTCATACAAGTGATTACTGCTTGTGTGATACTGCAACTGTATTCGGACTATTTACATTTTATCATTCATTCAGTAAAACAAAACCATCAAGCATTCATGATTGATTGTGCCATTTAATTGCAACTCCACAACCTTTTTGTTCTATATGTATATATATATATATCCACCTTTGAATCCCAGCAAGCAGCCAAAGGAAAAAGAAAAAGACAACAACAATAATAACTACAGAATAAACCCAATATCCGCAAACGAAGTTCTTATCCTCTACCTAATCCTAATAAAAGCTTTACTCAATCTAAGGTAATTGTTGTTTCTTAAACGATTAATTCCACTTCATAACACTTAATTCATAAAACGAAGCTGATAGTGAACTGAAACTAGCAGTTAAGTAAGTAGCTTTATCATTTCCTCTTAACAAAGATTCAATTTTTGAACCACAAAAAGGAAACCAAAATGAATAAAACAAAAGAACTTACATAAAGGTGAAATGGGTTTTCTAGAAATGCCAGCAAAACATGGTAATGAGTCCACCAAAGGCACTAATGGAGGCTTGCTGCTGCTGCCACCGGAAGTTAGTGGTGTTTTTGGAAGAGTCAACCCCCGCATCTTTTACACCTTTTCTTCAAAATTTTATTTCAAAAATTCATTGCAGCTCCTCTAGACTTCGTCTATGGATGAACTGCAGCTGCTGCTGCTGCTGCTTGTTGAATGAAGATTGATTTATAAATGCAATACTTCTTGTTTCCTTTTATCGGTGTTATCACTGTATGGTGAAATTTTGAGCTTACTCTTTGGTGCTGAATTTTGTTCCTGCGTTTTTAAAGGGTGGAGGTGCTGCCAGATGCCACGTGTCTAGCAAGATAAAATGATGATAATATTATTACGAGAACGACGACGTTCAGGCTTCTTCTTTTTTCTTTTTTTTTTTTTTGTTTTTTGCCCTTTGATTTGTTAAAGTCTCTCCATGGAATTTGGAGAAATTATGAGAGGAGGAGTGCTACCAACACTTTATTTATTGAATAAAAAAGTGTTCTCGTTAATTTTTTTTTATATACCTTCAATATCTAATTAGTTTTTAGATAATAATGGCAAATAAAAGATAACCAGTGCCCCCATACTTTTATAAAATTTTAAACTTGCAACCAATCTTATGTTATTTAAAAAAAAAAAAAATCTCTTCTTTATTTATTTAGCGCTAAAATTATCTAAAAAAACATCAAGTTAAAACTAAAAATTAAACACGGAATGATATTTAAAAATAACAAAGATTACATTGATTGATTTGTAAGTCTTTGTTTAGGGAACATTATCGAACCCATTGGATTATGTGACTATTTTCGAGAATTATCACATAGGTTATTAGATTTGTAGCATGCATGGTTGAAGGGTTTAATGTGATAATGGCCGTAGTCATTAGTCGTTGCTTTATTTGCCATGAATTGAATTGTAATTTTATTATCTAGTTCAATTGGGCCTTGTTAGTTCCCAATGAGCCTTTTTATACACATGATGGATCATTGTTGTTTGGTGGATGATAAATCTTTCAGTCTAGAAAGTTTGTGTTCCATGCAAAGTTTTAATCTTAATGGACTTTTTGTAATGCTAGTAGGTTTGTTTTGTTACTGCCTACAAATCCCAACCTCAAACTTTGACGAGATTTTATTATTATTATTATTTATCTAATGATGTGTTGTTCTATCAATTATTTGATTGTTATAGTTAAAAACTTAATATTTTATTTTATGATTAGAGGATTCTGATTTTCTAGATTAATGTGTAATAAAAAATATATAATTTAATTATTTTTTTATTTTATGACATTAGGCCATAATGGAATTGGGAATTGACTTAAATATTAACATCGAAAAAGATGTTCTCAATGAGATTGATAATTTTGATTAATATGTCAATGAATTTCATAAAAAAAAAAAACAATAATAAGCATAGAACTTTGCACTTGGAATGAATTTTGACTAGCAAAATATTGCTTATTCATCCTACATAAATTATATTGAGGATGTGGAGTTGTGAAATGTCAATTAAAATCAATCGTCGTTTAAAAAAATTGAGAGAATTTATTGATGTTAAATATGCATGCACAAGATATCGGACCAAGCAATAATATAGTGCCAATAATCCCGTCCTTACTTCAAGATGTAAATTAGGGCTATTAAAAGAAGATATGAAAGGAAGTGGTGTGTTCAAAACTTCATCAAAGATCATAATTATGAACCTTTTTCGGCATATGCTTGTTGTTTTCCTTACCAATCAATTCGGTTAGAAAAACAAGAAGCAAAATTTATATTGAAGTGACCAACGGAACGGATATGAAAATATGGATTGTTTAGAGAAAGACATCAAGAATCGGTTTAGGTAAAGATATAGTTTAGAATTGCAATTTGGAGATGCAAAAGCAATGCTCGAGTATTGTTATATATGCAAGAAAAGAATCAAAGAATTTTTTATGCAATAGTGAAGTCGATCGAAAAATATTTTTCAAAAGGGAGAGGTCATTGTTGATATTTTGGGAATGTTATTTCTTTTGATACAACATGCATCACCAATGAGTCCAAATGCCTTTTACTTTTTTATTGGATTGAATATTGGAAAGAATTTGCTGAGAAATATGAGGTGGTTAAAAAAGGTGGAAAATCAAGCTTATATCAATTACATAGCACAAAAAAACCTATACTCGAAAGCTCTCATTTTTTAGAAACGTCAATTTTCCGTACTTATGATAACTTTAAGAAGTTTCAAGTTAAGATTTTGAGAGTATTTGGTTGTTATCTTATAAAAGTAAAGGAAGACGAGCATGTCAATACTTTAATTTGAACAAAAGTAAGACTTTCTTATAGGGTGGGATGCATCAAAAAGAAATTTTTTTTTTTTTTTTGGTCCGTATCATTCATTTGAGTATAATGGATTTTTTTGTAGATACACATTGACAACACTTCGGTGTGTTTAGCATCCCATCTTCCTATATGTTGATGAGATGGACCGAAAATGTCAAGTCAAAGTACAAGAAAATAAATATGCATTAATAAGTAGGATTATTATTCAATTTTTCTATTCAATTTTAATTTTTTTTATTAATCAAATCGATTAAAACAAAAATCGAATCAAATTGAGGTTTGGTTTTTCAGTTCAAAAACTTAATTTTTCAATTAAAAATCTTTTTTTTTAACATCTTTCTTCGAATTTTGAATTTTCTCTTTGACCAAGCTAAAAAGCCACTTTTTTGTAATTTTTTTTCGATTTTCAAGAAATGTTAATAGCTTAAATTGAAGTTTTAGCAAAGAAAACCATGAGAAAATGCTACGGTCGAGTTTAGATGGATCTCATGTTTACCAAAAATTCGAGTTATAATAGCTTGAATAGTGCTCCTCCTAACTAATTTCGTACCAAATAACTTGTAATTTAGTGTTAGTAGTCTATTGTAAGTGGTCACAGATTTAAATCTTAACAAACTAGTTACGTTAGGAGTTTTGGATGTATGTATTAAAAAAAAACACTAATTTGGTTTTCGATGAAAATTAAATTTGAAAAAAAACTAAATCGAACCGAAATAATTTCGGTTTTTGATTTTTTTTTCGAAACAAATTGTACAAAATCGAACTGAAATTGCTAAGTTTGGTTTGGTTCAATTTGATTTTTTTATTTTAGCCGAATAGTGTCTACTCCTATTAACAAGTAAAATGAAAGAAGCAACCCGATATGACCATTTGTTTCAACAAGCAGCAAAGTTGATTGAAAAGGGATCTATTTTTAAAGAGAGTTATAATTTCACACATCAAACAATTAAGAAACTTTAAAGCAATGTGTGAGTATTAATGATTCTTTTATTTTATTTTATTTTCTATTTGAATGTATATATTTCTATTTTTCTATTTGAACAACAATACTTTCAAACTTTATTGATAAAGTGTTGTCAATTTTGAAATCTAATGAATATCTACTTTATATGTATCATATTTTAACCAAGCTAATTAAAATTAAAAATTAAAAGAACTAAATAATTAAAACTTCATTCCAATGAAAGGAACATAATAATAAAAAAAAACATTAAAACATAAATTTGTGTTCACCATGATTCACTATAAAAGAAAATAAAAAAGAAACAAAAGAACTTAAAAAAAACGTTGGATTTTGATGAAGTTTGGTATGAAACTGTGTGATTGTGTTCAAATATTTTGTTGCTAAATTGCAATATATATATATATAGGAAAATCAGCTTTATTTTATGATTTTATTAATTTTGAAAATTTTTATTTTATTCTTATTTTCTTTGAATTCAATAGATTGTCATTATTGTTTGTTGTTTTAATTTTATTTTATTTTGATAAAAAATATAGCATACATAAGATTTTAAAGTAGATACTTGTCAAACTTCAAAATTTATAGCACTCAGTTTTTAAAGCACAAACACTCAAATAAAAAAAATTAAAAAAAAATACATAAAATCAAATACAAAAATACAAGCACTCAGATAGATATAAAGTAAAATATTTATGCATGCTTGATAGACATGCAATATGCTTATGTCTTAATTTAATGACCACATCAGCATGCATTTTATAGAATCTAACATTGGATTTTAAAATATTGAAAATTCACAAACTCAAATAGAAAAAATAAGAATTGATATACTAAAAAAAAAGCACCTCAAATATGTAATAACGACTAATAAATTTGAATTATGAATGGGTTAGGTTCAACTTTCAAATATGATATAGTTTTTTATTAGACTATCAAAAATGTTTTCATACTAATTTATACATAATCGATTTTTTTTTTTGAATTATTGTAAAAATCAATCGAGGTTTTTTTTTTTTTTTTTGAAAAATCTGAAACACATGCTCTCACTTTTAATTTGATGTATTCCGAAGAATAATCTCAATTAGGTGTCATCTCGGTAACTGAAACTCAAAATGAAAAAAATTGAATTTGAAGATGGGAGGATGCGGATGGGACATGGGAAGAACATAAGTCCAGGAACATGGTACTTGGGCCTCCATGATCATGGATCTTTTTGCAGTTGTAAGGTGGCCAAGCCGATTTGGCTATACGTTAGTAGTTGTGTAGGGAGGCAGGCCATCATAGACCTAATACATTTTGATACAAACGGAATGGTTTCTGAATATTTTTCTTATTTAAACACGATAAGCTTGTCTTTAATCGAGTTTAAAACGAGTGTTCCCTAATTATTAATTTTATCAATTGGGTAAATTAGGCAATTCCGTGCCTAAGACTTCGGGGAACTCGAGTTAGCTAGAAAACTTATGAATAAGCACCCAATTGATAAAATCAGTAGTTAGAAGATTCAATTGGGATACCATGCATAGTTGAAGGACTAATATGCTGTTTGCCTTTATTTTAAAATTCTTTATCAATTCATAGATTCTTACAAAAGATTTTGACTTAAATAAACTTTAAACACTTATGGATGAATTAGATCCAAGTATAACATGGTTAGTTGTATTCGAAATTTGAATGTGAAGATAGGAATTAGGAGGACAGGAACATTGTACTCGGGCCTCAACAATTATGGATCTCTTGCCTTTTGAAAAGGTGGCCAGGTCCATATATTCTGCACGCTAATAGTGTCGTAGGAAGGCCGAATGGACCTAACATTTTGATAGAAACAAGATGATTTCACCGTATGTTTTTTAACATAAAATGTCTTTGCCTCTTGACTTTTATAAAACGTGTTTAGGTTCGAGACCTTAAAGCTAAATAAAAGAAAAAAGAAAACCATTTGGTACGCATAATTTTTTTTATATTTAAATAAATTGTACTCAAGAACTGCCTTTTTATGGTGCTAGCTATACCTAAGCTAAGGACACGGTATTTGATTATGAAGTTCAATGTTCTTATTGCTGTTTTTACCCGAAAAAAGGCTCGAGTACCGGCCGATGATTTACGTCTGTACAACACCTGCACTAACCTCGCAGGAGCAAGAACAAGGGGGATTTGATAATTTTGAATTTTCTTATTGTCAGAAACGAAAAAAGAGGCAATTCATTGAATCTTTATGGTGTAGCTTTTCCAACAATTCTCATTAATAGCACGTGACTCTCACGTTCACGTAGGAAAGAATACGACACCCTCCCTACCTTCTTACCCACCCACCATCATCCCAGATGGGTAACGTGCAGCGGGTGGACCCCTTCTATGCACATGCAAATGGGTCCCACAAAAAATCAATCAAAGGCTCAGATTTGGACCAATTGGACTCAATTTGAAAGACTTTTTTATTTCTACACTACTTTACAATTAGATCAGTAAACCTGTTCAACTACAGGTACTTAGTCCAAAACAGGTGCTTGATGCAGGTATCACAGGATCATCGCCGCCCCGTGCGGTGTCGGGGAGGTCAAAAGCTTGGTTTATTTTTTATCCCATGTCTCCACGTGTCAGTTAGGGATTGGTTTTGGTGACGTGGGTGGTGGACCTCATTGGGAGGGATGCATTTCACGCATTATTATGACCGTCCCGTTTTAGGGCTGCCCGTTGCGTAAGCGGCCCCGCCCCTTCTTTTTCATCTACTAATCATCGTATTTATTTATCTCCTCAAGACGTATCCCTTATTACCATAACACCCTCCTGTTTTTACCTTATTTACGTGAATGCTTCCACTATTGAAAGCTAAATTTGGAGAGCATTAAAATTTTGGTAAATACAGGTAGGATGATGAAGGGATGGTGATCATGTTGGAGTAAAGGAGATTATATTACTTTGCAACTTTTTCATCGTCATCACAACAATGATCTTTGAATTGTTCACATGTGTATTTGGTCCTTTCTCAACTATGAATGGACAGAAAAAAGATCCGCATTTTGCGTATTTTTTCATTACTAAAATGTATGTACAAAGATGTCTTTTCCCATAAATGAATCATGGTTGTCTTATTTTATTTTAATATTAAAAGTATTTTCCAAACAACTTTTATGTATCAAAATTATTTTTTTATCCAATCAGATTTTAAACAAACAATTCACGTTTTGCAAAGACGTATGTACAAAAAAAGTTTTTTAAAAAATTTTCATCAAAATTCGAATCATAGATACAACCAAAGAAACCAGTTTAGAGAAAATCTATAATAACACTTTATTCTACAACCAAAGTAAGAAGAATATATATTGACCCATCGGCAAGTTTCGTGGTCATTGAATTTATATTTTCTTTGTATACGCATGCATGGGCCAGAGAATTATTACTTTGAATACTTTTTTTTTTAAAAAAAAGCACATGAATTATATTCTCATAAGATGCAAAAGTTTCCAAATCAAAGCATGAATTCACTGTATTGCAATTGAAAGTTTATAATTTCAAAACTCTCTTATGTTACAATGTACATTAAAAATTGGATGTAAACCATGATACAAGATCATGCTAATCACCGAATATGATATTTGACTTAGCGTAATTTTATGTTCTAAATTAGTTCATTAACAAGAACACGTAAAACAAATTGGCTCATTACCATTGGGGTACTTTTTATTTATACTAGTGAACATTGTTTACTTAATACTGTTGTAATTTTTATCATTTGTTTATGTATTTATGATGATATTAATGTGATTTTTAACATTTATTAATGCATATCAGATGATATTTTTGTGATTTTTAGACTTTATTCGGACAGTTGTATAAGAAATTTTAACAAATATTGTACTTTATTCGTTGATTTTTTTTTATATAAATTGTTTTGATTTTCAACTTTATTTATATCACGGCTTGATCTATGTAGACATAAAGAAATAAAGAGAGATAACGAAGGAGAGAGAATGTGATAGAGAAATTTATTTTGCCCATTTTGATTGTTATTGTTGATTCTTGTTTTAATATGTTCACTTAAAAAAGATAGTCTCGGTTCGATGATTTGAAGTTATAAATAATCAAAAGAAGTAGAATGATACCTTAAAATATTCACTTGAGTTTTTGAATCTGATTTGAATTTTTGAATAAAAATATATTTTTTAATAACAATTAAAAATAAGAAGTGAGAAGTACACTAAGACCAATCATGTATAGCTTAAAAACAAAAATATATGTAAAAAAATAAAATTTTCACGTGTTTTATTTTTTTATATGAATAAAATTTATCAAAATGAATTTTATAGGCGTTTTTATTGAAAACTGACTATACACATACATACAAAACACTTAATACTTACTATTTTTATTTTTTAGATATTAAAATCAATTTCTCTCAAATAAAATATTTAAAATTATGTTTTTTTCTAAAAAACAATTCTTGATGTAACCATACTTTTCAAATAGAGTTTTTTTTTTCTTATACTAATATCATTGATTATTTAGAAAATATATATACACACCTAATATACAGAATTTTAAAAAATAATCTTCTCATCGATATTCAATAAGGATAATTTTGTTTACATTAATCGTTCCTTTATTTTTTTATTTAATTTTATAAAAAAATAATTTAATTTACACATATTTTTTGGACTTCTAATTAATCAAAACTTACCTTTTAAATTATTATATATATATATATATTTTTTTATCAAAGAGCCCATGCATAAAAAAAATAAAACAAATCATGTTTTTTTTCCCCTAAGAAGATAATCTACTAAACAAAACATAAGAAAAAAATAGAAAAATCATAAAATTATGTAATTTTTTCCTTTAATTTTAATATATTTTACGTAATAAAACTATCTTACTATAATATTTTTTTAAAATAATTTCATATACTCTGTGTGATGCGTAACGTAGCAGAAGCAACTCCGCTAGTACCGATTATAAAACGCAAAAGATGAGCATGTCCTTTACTGCAAAAGTAGTAGAGTAACCTTTTTCAAAGTTTCCGTTGATGAAAACTGGCGTGGGGAATTTATTTATCGCTTCTGACTTATGAATGAAACCCTATTTTACATGGGATGCTCCACCTGCCCTGCCCTACCCTACCCAACCCAACCCACTGGACGTTATAAAATCAACCAAAATAATTAAGGAATATAAACAAACAAAATAAATAAAATAAATAAAGAAATCCACATCCCCTCGTTCCCACTGATAAAGAAAATGGAAAAAGAAACGAAAAAATAAAAATTAAAAAACTCTTAGTCTATCACGAGATAATATAGCCAAAAGAAACGAGAGAAAGTCCCTCTCTTTCGCTCAAACACCAAAAACCTCTCTCTCTAGAGAATAAACCGAAAAAAAAACAACTTTTTGGGTTTCTTGTTCTTCAAAGAAATGGAGTCGCTTGATACTGCTGCTGGTTTCATGGTGGATGACCTTTTGGACTTCGGTTCTGATATAGGAGAGGAGGATGATGATGAAGAACACCAAAACAACAACAAAAAACCCAGAAAGGCACTTCCTTCCCTTAACCCTAATGTCCTTGCCCCGGCTTCTTTCAACGTTTTGGAACATACTTTGTTACCTGTAAGTTTTTTCTCTGGGTGTTCCTTTTATGGGTTTTTAAGGCCGAAAGTCGCTGCCTTTGGTGGTGTTTGCCCTCATTAAGGCGTGACTCGGTTTGACTCGGTGTTTTTTGGGCCATTCGGCCCGACTCGGCTTGGTTTTAGTGTTTGTTATGAGTCGACTCGGGCGACTCTGTCCGTGTTAGCGGCCGTGTTTTTTTGACTCGGCAGGATTGTGGCTCAGCCGAGTCAAATTTGATAGGCTTCAATAATGGTACAAATTGAATTTTTTTGGTTCCAAAAATTTTGCAAAGGACAATTTTGACCACATTGAACCTCTTGACCCCATGAACAAGACGGCAGTTTCAAGGGTGTTTTGGACATTCAACACGTGTAGTCTTAATCGTTGTGAGCTGTATTTTTCACAAGGCGTGGTTGTACCCATGAATTGTCCTCGTCATCTCCAGGCTTGCAAGATTGATACGCACTAACTCCTATTGAAAAGACTATATTGCCCCCAAACATCTTCAAAATTATCCTAGCATGTCCGAACATTAGTTCTGAGTCCTTGAGTTTACCAGTTGAGTCAACTCAGATACATTGAGAAAATGGAAGTTTGACTTTCGAGATGTTGATTATTTGTTCCCATTTTTTGTTCTCTCAGGAATTTGCAGAGGAAGAGCTGGAATGGCTATCAAACAAAGATGCGTTCCCGACGGTGGAAACTTGCTTTGGCATTCCCTCCGAGGAGCCAGGCAGCATTCCTAAACACCACAGCCCAGTTTCCGTGCTTGAAAACAGCACCACGAGCAGTACTAGCAACAGTGGGAATAACAGTAATAGTAGCATTATTATGAGTTACTGTAGCCTTCGCGTGCCTGTGAAGGCTCGCAGCAAGCACCACCACAGGCGCCCTCGAGAAATCCAAGAGCAAGAGTGCTGGTGGAGTCAGGAAAATTTGATGAGGAGGAAACCGGCTGTGTCAGTAGCAAAATTGGGGAGAAAATGTCAGCACTGTGGTGTTGAAAAGACCCCGCAATGGCGGGCAGGTCCAGATGGGCCTAAAACTTTGTGTAATGCGTGCGGGGTTAGATACAAGTCTGGTAGATTGGTGCCCGAGTACCGGCCTGCAAATAGTCCTACGTTCTCCAGCAAATTGCATTCGAATTCACATAGGAAGGTTGTGGAAATGAGGAAGCAGAAGCAGATGATGGGGTTGGCTGTTGTGAAGCCAATGGATAAAGGGTAGGATAGTGGTTGTTAGTACTTTTTTTTTCCCCTTTTTTGGAGTTATTTACTACTAGCATAGTTAGGGAGTAGGGGGTTTGGTGTAATGGGATAGGCGATTTAGTATGATGTTTTGTTTTGAAGGAAATTTACTAGGGGAATTTTGACTTTTAGTGTGTTTGGTTGGTTGATTGTGTTTTTAGAAATAGAAAGCAAGGTAGTGTTATTTGGTTTTTCTGGTATCTTAATTCTTTGCTGCATTGCTTGGATAGGAGATGGTGAGACTTGGGGTTAATGCTGTTTGCTAGATCGAGGGTTTTGGTTATGTTTTTGGTTTAGGTTTTGCTCGCTTACTTTGAACTAACTAAATGTCTTATGGATAGTGGGATGGTGGCAATTTTATGATCTGTAACACAATTCAAATTGGTTGTTGAGAGAAAATCCTCTTAAGAATTTCCTAATTACAGACACGGGTATTGTAAGTTCTGTTTTGCTGTAATCCTCAAGGATAGTTTTGTAGTTTTTTCCTTCGTGGGCACCCTTTCTTCTTTGTGAAATTCTTGATCAGATGATATTGTGGATTGTTTCCTCAACTTAAATGGCTACATGCATGCAAATATTCAGTTCAGGAGAACTGGTGAATGCAAAGCAGCTCTACGGAATATGCTTGTCGGTTGCAGATACCTGAATCTATCATGGTTTGAGATATCAGTTTGAGGGTCAGAACCAATGACAGATCTCTGCTTTAGTTCTTGTTCTTGCCTTTTGGTGGTGTTGGATTTCTACGTTATTGGAAGCGTTCTGCATGTTGCAAGCTTAATGCTTTCGATCTGCTGAAAAGCCATTGGCTTGGAGGTTTTGTTTGTAAATGAATGACTCTGATTGCTTGGAAGTCGTTATCTGTGGATGACATATTGACACCTGATTTGGAATTGGTTGATACGAGCAGTTCCATATTACGTTCTGGAGACGACCATTTAAGGCTGGAACAGCGAGGCGTGAGTGTTTTTGAGGCTTGGACCCACCATTTAAGGGCTTAATTGCAGGTTATAAGAAATTTGCAGATTGTGAGAGATACTTTTCTGGTTAAGATTGCAATACGAGCCCTATCTTCGGTGCTTAATGCACAATGCCAGATTGGTCCATCATCTATTTGGGAGCAGTATTGAAGGTGATTTGGGATGGTCTTTGCGAAGAATGAAGACAATTGTTCAATCAAATCTGTCGTTCCTGTTTGATTATCAATTTGTGAAAGATTAGTCACGAGAGCAATTTGGCATGTTAAAAATTATCATCCTCGCAATGATTTTAGCAATAATTCAAATCGGCATATTCACATGGGTTTGGTTGGTTTATGACGTTTCACTGTGGTCATGGCATTGAATACAGCAAAATAGTCGCTGAAAATATCTTGGATTTAAAATGGTTTTGCTAAACAGATTAGTTTCAAAGGCGACAGTTAAGTGTCATTGTTTAACTAATGAACATGACTTAGAGCACTAATCTTCTTTCAACTTATTATGAAATTGTCTTGATGTTGCTCTTGTGATAAGGGAGAGACTGTACCTATAGTTTAACAATAAGGGACAACGAGCCTTTGGCATGTAGTTGGATTGACCAAGCCACATGGGAGGTGCTGTATGAATGCGCTGGCGATCATGAGAAAGGACCAAATAATGGTTGCTGATAGGTTCACACAATGATTGATGATGGACGGTGCTAGTCACTGCAGAAAACCACCGGCGTAAAGAAAGTTATGTCCAGAAGGACGAGCAAATCTCTGATCACAAAATTACTTGGAATCTATCTACCTGTAAATAATAACTCTAAAATTTTGGAGCCAACACCAATCCAAGACATTTGGGAACTCCAACCAAACCATTCGAAAGACTCTTAAAGAGGTTGGATTGAGTTGGTTAATGAGATAAACTTGTCTCCAAATTCCCTCCCCCATCCCCCCCCCCCCCCCACGAAACCGATGATGACAATTGCCTTTTAGTTTCAACAATCAGTGCATCATTATTGTACTGGATATTCTTGGCTAGTCTTGTGCTCTTCATATGGCAATTTAATTGAAAAAATCACAGTGAAAACTATGGCGTCACAGGTAAATCAGTAGGGCCTTTTATTGGAGCATGTCCTTTCTCTGATAACCTCTGAAAAGCTCCAGGAGAAAGAAAAGAAGCTCTCCGAGTCCAAGGTTCGCCATCTATTTATTAATCCTTGGTTTATCTTGGAAAGTGATTATGATACTAAATAATCTAGGAATGCATTGAAAAGGAAGAAAGAGGTTTTGGGTCTTAAAGACCAGGCTCGTAGAGTCATAGCCCCTTATCTTTTCATGGAAGTGATGAAAGGAATCTTTTCCAATTCACAAAGCTTCCTACTATGAATGTAGTACACATTATGTTCGTGGCCTTGTGAGGTGAATCATGCTTCTTTCCTTCCAACTAGGACAGATAAAAAGTCAGGTATAGGGTTTGCCTGTCACAAGTGACACAAATGCCAGTGTTCTTTGTTGGTGTTTCTCTTGCATTGATGCTGGGCTTTGAGCATGACTTTCCAACAAGTTAGCACGGAACTCTTGTTGGGTTGGTTCGCTATTCAAATCTAGTGGCCTCAGCATTTTCTTGACAAATTAAGATCGAAGTCAATGATGATACATGTTGTAACATGGACAATTAGTGTTTAGTATTGTTTTAAGTGCAAACGAATAGCCGGCTGATCTGCCTAACTTAATTAGTGCCGTACTTCACCATTTGACTTCAAATCTAAGAAGGCCGGCCACGTCCAACTTTAAATATAACATGCCTTCCCTTCATATGCTACTCCAGTTTCAAGCCATCCCCATTTTATAATTCTATTTTCTCGCACCATTCAAAAGTCCACCTTCCCCTGTTCCAACTCTCAAGATTCGGAAAGGGGTTTGTTCGTAATTTTCTTTTTTCTTTTTTTCTTTTTCATTAGAGAATGGTTAGGTTTTAGACTACATTACATAATAATCATTTATTAGAACTCAGTCTTTTTCATTAAATAAACCTACAAAATGCATAACAGCTAATGCTTGCATTAGCGTGTGGATTTTTTCAAGCCGAAGATAGGATTTGGTTTGAACTCATTAGAACCTGGAATGGAAAGAAATTTTACCAAGCTTTGACATTTCAGTACCATAAATCACAACCAAGGGAAGGTCCCATTTGAAGTGGGCCTCCTGTCTAGGCTCTTTTTTTTTTTTTTGTAAATTGGGCCTAGTTCATCATCAATGAAACCAATCACTTTTTATTCACCTAAAAAAAATTGATATAAAAATATATATATAAGAGAGAGAGAGGAGGAATTTTTTTTGTTTTTCATTCTCCAAGTACATATTATGCTCAAAATATCAGACTAATTTGGAGAGTTTTTCACATAGATAAGAATTTGAATTCAATATCATTTATTTGAATGATTAGAGTCTCTTTCTATTTAAATTAACTTTCTTAAATAGATAAAATATTTCTTGACATTATGTAGATTGTGAGAATATATGAGAATATGTTTTTATATTAATTTTTAACATAATTTTTTAATAAACGAAAATCTTCAGTTTTTAAACAGTTGCTTTTCCTACTTCCAGCAATTGGTTAAACGCATCTATGCTTATGCAAAATCTGAAGATAATGATGTGGACGATAATTTACATATCTTCCTATTTTTTTGGCACAATCAAGAAAATCCGAAGATAATGACTGGTTGGTTGCCTAGCTAGCTAAGACTACAGGTATGTCCAAAATTCAAGATGAAAAATTAACTCAATAGAATAAAATCCTTGACAATTAAAGCATGTGTTGATTTTCTTATCAATTTGGCAGCATTTGAAATCTGGGCAGAGCTGGGGTTGGCAACTATTGACATTAACTAATCAGGTACAACTTGTGAGTCTTCGCTGTAGGAATCGAAATACAAATCACGACCTAGAATCATGCATGGTTGAGACAGAACTAACAAGTTAATAAGAATAAATGAAGTTAATGATGTCATACCTAACGATTCTACCATCCTCCATTCCTACTGATATTTTGTATTCATAGGTACCCAAGTTGTTGTATAAATAAAAACTGTTGAAAACAAGGAAAAAAGTTGACCAAATCTACTTTACAGCAAAAATAAGAACTCAATAAAGAGTTATTTATAAAAGTAATTCTATCTTAATATGGCGAGTTTTAGATTGATTTTTCAAGAATCAAAACATATAATTCTTAAGTGATTTTGAATGATTTATGATAAAATTATAAGGAAAGAGTAAAGTTTAATTGTATATGGTGTCCCTTGCTTCCTCTTCATACGTACAACAGTTCTCGATGTTAACAAGCATCACGTGCATGTAGTGGACGTCATATTGCGTATACTAAACGATAAAATTAATGACAAAGTCATAGATGAAATGAATGTGTATAGATTTGGTGGAGAAGAATCTAAACCACACGTGAATATTCCCATTTAACTTTATTAGGTGGTTGATTAAAAGGAGGAATTCCGAATGTTAAGGCAATATTCACAAATATTTCCGCAATAAGCTAGATCAATTGACCCCGTCAAACTCAATTAAAAAATTTCTCGAGACTAAGAAAAAAGTCATGATAATTTTTATTTTATTATTCTTTTAAAGATAAATATATCCATTTGTGTGTATATAATAATATATTTTCTTTCATGTATTTATAGCTTTCTAATTACACCACATTTTCACTTAAAATATTTGAAATATTCAATATGTTTTTTTCAATAATTTTTTCTAGCCAAATAAAAATTTTGACTAAAAATACTCCTGATTGGAATTCAAAAAAAAAAAAAAAACTTAAATAATTGAATATTTAAGACATGTAACTTTAATTGTTTATTTATTTAGCATTTTAGTAAATGGCATTCTAATCAATTTTTTTTTCACAATGGAAAATTTTAATTGAAAAAACAGATTGAACATTTTAAATTTTTTTAATGATAAATATAATGTAATTGAAAATTTAAAAATAAATGAGAGACTTTGAGTATTATATAAGGACAAATAATATATATATATATATATATTGCACAATTTGAATGAAATGCTGACTAGGAAAAGCTCTAATGTTATAAAAGTATAAAACACTTAATATGCAATTTACTTAAATTGAGCGGTATTGATGAATTGATATATTATATTAAAATTGATATGATTTTCATTTCTATTGTTATATGTTTTTTCTTAAATTTTTCAGATTACTTAAATCATGTCAACTTTCAATCTATTTATATAATTCAATTTAAGTGAATATTGCACCAACTGTCATCTCTAAAATACCATAATTTTTCTCAACCAAAATTAAAAAAAATATATGCACTATAAAAATGGATATATATAAACAGATATTGATATAATATATGCATGCACATTACTACTATTTTTTTTTTAAAAAAATATTACTATATCTTTGGATTAGTTTTCAAATGTTTAACTTAAATCCATCTTTGATTGAGTTTTAAACAAATCATCTAGGTATAATTAGTATATTCGCAAGAGGTTTCCTTCTCACAACTTTTATTTCATGCAAACATTGAAGAGACATTTATGATTACATTATCTTTGAATTAGCTAGAAATTTGAAATTGGAAAAGCCGATAAAAAATATTGAGATGCTAAAATACTACTCGCATAAAAAAAATTACACAAGTTATAGATTATGGACTAAAATTTAGCTTTTTTTAAATTTAAAAATGCAGTTATATATAAAATGTTAACACTTATTGGAAATAACTATTATACTTTAGGGACCATTTTAAACTTTGGAGGGATCTTGACTCCCACTTGCACCCCTTATTTCCGCCCTTTTCTATGGCTACACCATAACTATTAATAAAAATATATACATAAAAAAACACTAATTTAATTGTAATTAAGCTTAAGAAATAGAATTTTGATTAAACGGGTCAAACTACAATATTTTTTTATCCAATTGGATTTGATTGAGAATATATGTAGTACAAGTTGAAAGTTTTCAAGATGTAATTAAGAAACCCATCTATTAAAAATATGAATTTTATGGTCTCTGTCCTTCCCCATGCACGGATGAAGCTCACCGGAAGGAGCGTACCATGCATTCATTATTCGATACTGATGCCAGCTTTAGCGGGTTGACGGTGAGTCAAGTAAAAGAAATTTGTGTATTGGTCGTTGCGTTGCACCGCAATCCATAAAAGAGATACTTCAAATCTTGAAATCAAAACCAATCCAAACATCATCAATATTTGCAACACTATTTTAGTAGGGTATTTTTAGATTAGATTTCGTATTAATAAAAAATTTATTATTTTTTAAAATAAATCAATATCAGAACACAATTCGTTAAATTATTTAATTGATTAGATTGAATATGCAAAATTTAATCTGGCAAGTAAATATTCGTCTGTTTTTTTTAAAAAAAATGATTAAGAGTCATTTAAGGCCATTTTTTTTGATAAACTGAATTAAGCACATGTGCAATGAAAAAGGTTAAAAGGGAGTGAGTTATCTTCGTAATTAAAAGATGAAGGGAAAAAAAAAGGACTTCTCTTTGCGTAACATAATCATTGATATCAAAAGACATAACAAGTCTTTATTTTCTTTTTTTGTCAGGAAATGATGTATTAATTAATGTTTATGAAACCCAAAAGGAAGCTTTCGGGTAAAGTATAGATAGACCGGACCCCATATTGTGATAAATACTCGAGTCTTGATCAGTTGAGATGGAAGGAGGCTTGGCCTTGGAGCGTATTAAAATATTTGCGCATTGAAAAGGAACATGACTCCATTTTAGGGATACGAAATCCTGGAAAGGACATAAATGATTTGCAATCTAATTCAAAAACTCAACCAGTAGGAGGTTAAGAGATTAATCATGGCTGCATGTCCCATCTGCATTTGCCTGTAAAACTATTTCTTTTTAAAAATTATTTCTATATACATGTATCAGTTTCAGGTTCGCATATAATAGTATTTTATTTGCAGAATATTGTGCGTTAGTTATTGATAAAAACATACGTAAAGGGCACCGGACCTCCTTAGCAATGCTGTTTGCATAATTAGGTAGAGGAAGAATTCATTATTATCACTAGCTAGAGCCTTAGTTTCATTGCTGAATAGGTTTAAGGCTGAAATAATATAATTTTGTGTGGATTGATCAGAGTTAGGTGTGAATAACATTCTTAAATTCTGATTTTGAAAAAAAAAAAAAACTTTAGTCTTGATACATGGAAAGTGGAGTAAGAATAATTTTAGTGCTAAAATTTAAAAAATAAAAGGAAAAAAAAACACATGAGCTAATAAATTTTGTCTTATATTAATTAATTATATTTTAGATATTTGTAAGTAGACCACAAACAACAAATTGATCTCAGAATATCACATTATTGCTATATGTACTAAAAATTTGTAATTTATAATCCTAAAAAGAAGTACTAATGTAACGAGATTTATCCTTTCTTTTGACTTTATCACGAGTTCAAACATCGAGACTAATATTAAAAAAAAATTATTTATTTAAATATATTAGGTTAATGTAGAGAATGCATTAAAATTAGTTTTTAAAAAATTTAATCTCAATTAACAAGCAAACCAGCTGCAAATATCTCATTGTTCAAAAATAAATTCTTAATTATAAAAGAGTCTGGTACCTGTATATTAAATATAGAAAAAAATTGATTAAAGAAAGACGAAACAATTATCAATAAAAAAGGACAAAATATAGAATACGGATCAAGCAACCATTAAGTCAAGGTCGGCTAACCGATGACATCTTTCTTATTTTATTTTATTTTATTTTCCATACAATCAAATTCGAAGGCATCATTTCAGTCTCTTAAGTTATAAACTTGCTTTAATGACATCATACTGTCGTAATAATCCTGTTAAGATCTTTTCAGATAACTGAGTCATTAAGCACATCGATTGTCTTCGAAATACGAACCAGCTAGCATTGACAATCTAGTAATTAATCTAACATGCAAAATCAAAGAAGAAGGCTCATCCTGCCCAACCCATGTAGAATTCTTGCTCTAGAACTATGACAATCACATTTTCCTTTCTCTTCTTAACACGCAAAGACGTCACTGACCTGCTGAAACGGATAAGGGGTTTGGTAGTGGAGACGAGCCAACCCCAAAACGAAAAGAGTCAATAAGCAAATCCATAGTCCTGATGGACGGCCTTGCATGTGCTGCAATTCAATTTTTATAGAATTATCTTTAGGACCCACCGATTCAACCTTTCTAGATTGCATGATTAGTGGTCGGACTCATAACCCACAAATATGGGCCGTCTGATATGGACTTAAAGCATGATGTTTGGACACCTAGGGGAGCTGTCTCACCCGTTTTGTGGGTCCTAATCTAGAGTTTGGTGGGCCATTGTCCTAATCATGGCGCGTAACTTCCCTTGATCCAATTATGTACTAGCATAATCTTAGTTTTCACATAGGAGTTGTAGTTAGCGAATAGGAGTTACTTAAACTCTCTTATTGGCAGGATTGAAGCTCTTTTTCATTCACAAGCAAAGTGCTCGACATGGCATTCGATAGTCCTAATGCTCGAGTGATTAAAATTACCTTTGTCCCACATTAAGCCTTACCTATGATGGTGGAGCATTAATTTATGTTTCTATTCTGGTTTTTTGGTCTAGCTAAGTTTTATTTCCTCATCTCACCACCTAAATTCAATTCTTGGACTGAAAATACAATCTCCACTCAAACAAACTTTTTTTAATTTAAAAAAAAAACAACTTTAGGCTGAATCAATGAGGAATATAGAGGAGCTAGCAACTGCTGCCAATCCAGCTTGCCAAAAAAAAAAAAAAAAATTCAAAATCATCTCTCACTTTGTATTTTTTTTTTAAAAAAAAATTGGCCTCTTAAAAGAAAAAAAAAGGTAAAATTTGAATTCTAGATTCATATAGTTTCAGCCCGAAACAAATTTGTTTAGTCGAATAAACATATCCTAACTGGAAATGGCTCATCTCATGAAAATAAAAATAAATAGTTGATTCTAATTCTTACTGCCATGCATAGGGGTATTGTTATATTATTTTCTTAGTCTTTCGAGAATAACTCTATTTTTCTGCATGCCAATTGCCATGGTAAGATGAGCTATTATATATATATATAAAAATTCTAAATAAAAATCTAAATTTACTATTTATTGTACTATTATAGATACTATTCATTTAGATTCATATGTACTATTCATTCAGATTTAGATGCATTATTCTCTTTATGATGCAGATGACATTTTTGTAGTTTTTTAATATTTTAAAGATATTTATTATGAAAGTTTTCGTGATATTATATTTTGATTTTTTTAATATTATTTTTTTAGTATGTAAATATTTTTTATTTGATTTTGATCTTTTTTTGTTTCATTTTGGTCACTTTGATCCTTACATTTTTTTCTTTGATTTTTAATCAAAAATTTTAAAACAAAAGGATGTTTAAAAAAATTTACAAAATAAATTTCTATATAAAAATATAAATAGAGATAAATAAATAATATTTTTAAATAAAAAATTTATAAAAATATAAAGAATAGTTAGTCAAATACAAAATTTTGATTGAAAAAATGATAAAATTGAATGAATTTTTATTTCGTTTTGATTTTATATATTTTGATAAACGCACAATATAATATAAAATATCAAAATAAAATAAATTTTTAAAAATAATTTTATATATTTTATATGTTGTAGGGAAAAAACTAGTGCATTTCTAAAAACAAATATTCATATGATCCTTTATTTTTGGAGACAAAAACAAATATTGATTTATTTAAAATTCGAAAAAGAAATAATTGTTAGAAAACCAAATATTAAGTCTTAACTCAATTTTTTTTTCTTGCTGAAAATGGAGGTATAAACAAATATGTTGTTTATGCAAATATTAGCACTGCGCTAAATACAGTTCTCTTGCATAATTGGTGATATTTTAGAAAATAAAGCATAATCTCACTTTTAAAAAGTAAATTTAAAGAGAGACAGAAAAGGAAAAAAATATGAAAAAAAAAACACCGGTAGCAAATAGGATATAAATTGTTAGATGGATTAGCTACACTGTCAATCGAGCTCACAAAAAACCTAACCATTTCGGAAAAAAATGGAAAAATACAAGAATGTCGCACTCTCCTTTTTTCATAATCATAATTAATTTGTTAGTGACTTTCGCTCTAATTTCATTGACAACCGAGGCCGATGGGCAAACAACCCATGCCCTTAGCTTGGCGAGCGAATTGCTTTCCCATCTCATCATTTCCCATTTAATTCCAAAACAATATTGCATATATATATATATTGCTAAATTACATTTGTTCTAATATGCATGGTAAGATCTGAATTAAAAACTTGATTTAGGGTATTCACGTGGATAATACGGAAGAATTGAAAAAAACTTTTTGATTCATCCGAAACATAATAGTTTTCGGATTACACAATAAAAAATAATTTTTTATTATATAATTATTAAAAAATTTTAAATTACCGCTATTCGAACAAAAATAAAAATTCAAAATCACTATAATTCGAATAAAAAAAATTAAGATTACTAATGCTCGAAGTTTATTTTATTAAAAAAATTAACTGAATACAGAAAACGGAGGTCAAATCTGCTTGTATGTATATATACAAAAGAAGATGATAGTAATCAGGTTGCCACAATTTTCGTTTTTCTGGCTTTTTGATTTAGTATAGAATTTGGAGATTCCAGAACCAATCTATTATCTATCCCAAGCAATCTATCACAATCAAAAAAAGTCCAATTTTTTTTTGGACTTGGACAAGGAAACTTTGAACTTTTGTTGCCTAACAAAAAGTTAGCAACAGTTGAAGGCACTAAAAGATAAACTAGCCAGCGAAGCCAACCTCCACCACCACCCTCCACTCCCTTCCCTAGAGAGAAGCTAGACAAGCACCCAGCACAAGGCATAAGGCAGACACACCCATTACACATATACACACAGTCACGCATAATATTGATAGAGAGAGAGTGAAAGGTGCAACCTTTGCAGACATATACAGAGTTTAGAGAGAGAGAGAGATGAAATGAGGGCATGCCTTGTCGGCCATTAGAGCTTCAAGTAGTAGCTTTGGCCCGACCCTTTTTAATTCACAAAAGACTCATCGTTTTCACTGTTTTGTTTCAATATATCAATAGAAAACCATAAACGATCTTAACTTTTTTTTTTTTACTTTGCTCGTTTTGTTTTGAAAAGTAAATTAGAAAGACAGCGAGAGGAGGGAGAAAGTTATCTTTTTCGGTTACAAAATCTTAGGTCTTTAGATCCAAAGATCCCACCATTTATGCTAAAAGGCGAACTGGGTTGCCTTTTGTCTGGTGATTCATGAATTCCATGGTTTCTTTAGCTTTATGGTCTCAAGGAGTTACAGGGAAGCGATGCAGTTGCTGCCTTACTATCTCTTCTTTGACGAGTGATTGGTTATCTGGCTTTAACAGGCATGTCACTCTTTTTTCATCTGTTGGCTTATTCTCTCTGTTAAATTGTTTGTTAAAGTGGCTTCCTTGGTTGTCTGATATGTGAATTCCAGCAGAAAGGTCTCTTTGGTATCTTGGGTTTCTAAATTTAAAGTTGTTCCCTCGTTTCTTGTTTCTTCTAAGTGAATAGTGCTGCTTCTGTGTTTGTCCCATGACTAGGATTTCTTTTAACTGTTTAGGTGGTTAAATTTCCAGGCTCTAAAAATCCTGCAAACTAAAATTCGATATTGAGATGTTCAACAAAGCAATTTCATATGTAGTGTGTCACCGTATCATAGCTATTGAATTACTTTAATACTGAAATGATTGATGTCTCTTGTAAGAATTACTACCTCTATCATATTTACAGTTGGATTCCTTGTATAGGGAGAATGGCTTGTTAAACAGTTTCTTATTAGTAAAGAATTACCAGAATCATTTTCGATTTCCAATTCTTCTTATAGTTGTAAAATGTTGCACTATTTGGTTGATGTTTGCCATAGATTTGGCTCCTTGACAATTATGATCTAAATTTCTAAAGTGTCACCAGATGTTCAGGTGTTTAAATTATGATATTATGCTGCAATTTCAATAAAGCGGAGAAATATCAAAATGTCAACATATTTCAGATCAAGTGGAGTATTTGAATTGGGACTTGCTGGAATTTTGCTTGTTACCATCCTATTGATATGTGCTACAGAGGGGTTGAATTCTGAGGGGCAGCATCTCCTAGAGCTGAAGAATGGCTTCCATGATGAATTCAATCATCTGCAGAATTGGAAGTCCACTGACCAGACACCATGCAGCTGGACTGGTGTGAATTGCACGTCAGATCATGAGCCTGTAGTCTGGTCTCTTAATTTGAGCGCAATGAATCTTTCTGGGACACTGAGCCCCAGGATTGGTGGTTTGGTCAACCTAAAATATTTCGATCTTTCTTACAATGTGATCACCGGAGATATACCGAAAGCAATTGGAAATTGTTCGGTGTTGCAATACCTTTATTTGAATAACAATCAGTTGAGTGGGGAAATTCCTGCAGAACTGGGTGAGTTGGCTTTTCTTGAACGTCTGAATATATGCAACAACAGGATATCTGGTTCACTTCCAGAAGAGTTTGGGAGATTGTCTTCATTGGTCGAGTTTGTGGCTTATACCAACAAGCTGACTGGCCCATTGCCTCGTTCAATAGGGAATCTGAAGAATTTGAAAACGGTCCGTGCAGGGCAGAATGAATTTTCCGGTAGTATTCCTGCTGAAATAAGTGGATGTCAGAGCTTGAAATTGCTTGGTCTTGCCCAAAATAAAATAGGAGGGGAGCTGCCAAAGGAGGTTGGGATGCTTGGGAAATTAACTGAATTGATTTTATGGGAGAACCAGATATCGGGGTTTATACCGAAGGAGCTAGGGAACTGTACAAACCTTGGGACACTGGCTCTATATGCAAATACTCTTACTGGACCAATACCAATGGAAATTGGGAACCTGAAGTTTCTGAAGAAGCTGTATCTCTATCGGAATGGGTTGAATGGAACTATTCCAAGAGAAATCGGGAATCTTTCAATGGCAACAGAGATTGATTTCTCAGAGAATTTTTTGACTGGCGAGATCCCATCTGAATTCAGTAAGATAAAGGGTCTACTACTTTTGTACCTCTTCCAGAACCAGCTTACAGGTGTCATACCAAGTGAGCTTAGTAGCTTGAGGAACTTGACTAAGCTGGACCTCTCAATTAATGACCTCACTGGTCCTATTCCTTTTGGGTTTCAATACTTAACTGAAATGCTTCAGTTACAGCTTTTTGACAACTCTCTTAGTGGTGACATTCCTCAGGGGCTTGGACTTCATAGCCGTCTCTGGGTGGTTGATTTTTCAGATAATGATCTGACAGGAAGAATACCTCCTCATCTTTGCCGACATTCTAACCTGATTTTGCTGAATCTGGATGCTAACAGGCTTTATGGAAATATCCCAAATGGGGTCCTGAACTGCCAAACGTTGGTACAGCTTCGTCTTGTTGGAAATAAGTTTACAGGTGGCTTTCCATCAGAGTTGTGCAAATTGGTGAACCTTTCTGCTATTGAACTGGACCAGAACAGGTTTACTGGTCTGGTTCCACCAGAGATCGGGAACTGCCAAAGGTTGCAAAGACTTCATATTGCAAACAATTACTTTGCTTCGGAGTTGCCGAAGGAACTAGGTAATCTGTCTGAACTTGTGACCTTTAATGTATCATCAAATTTGCTCACTGGAAGGATTCCACCCGAAGTTGTTAACTGCAAGATGCTTCAACGACTTGACCTCAGCCACAACAGCTTTTCTAATGCTTTGCCACATGAGCTTGGAACTCTTCGTCAACTGGAGCTTCTCAGGCTTTCAGAGAATAAATTCTCCGGAAATATACCTCCGGCATTAGGAAATCTCTCCCATTTGACTGAATTGCAGATGGGCGGCAACTCATTTTCTGGTCAAATTCCTCCAGCTTTGGGTTCGCTTTCAAGCTTGCAGATTGCATTGAATCTCAGTTATAATAATCTTAGTGGCAGCATACCTCCAGAGCTTGGTAATCTTAATTTACTGGAATTTCTCCTGCTCAATAACAATCATTTGACTGGTGAGATTCCCAAAACATTTGAAATTCTGTCGAGTTTACTGGGATGCAACTTCTCATACAATGACCTTACTGGACCTTTGCCTTCCATACCACTATTTCAGAACATGGCTGTCAGTAGCTTTCTTGGAAACAAAGGGCTTTGTGGTGGGCCCCTTGGCTACTGCAGTGGAGATTCATCTTCTGGTTCTGTTCCACAAAGAAATATGGATACTCCTCGAGGTAGGATCATCACAATCGTTGCGGCCAATGTTGGTGGGGTTTCTCTCATTCTGATAATAGTGATACTATATTACATGAGACGTCCCACCGAGACAGCTCCTTCCATACATGATAAGGAGAATCCATCCCCAGAATCAGATATCTACTTTCCTCTAAAGGAGGGATTCACTTTCCAAGATTTGGTTGAGGCCACCAACAATTTTCATGACAGCTATGTTGTTGGAAGGGGAGCTTGTGGAACAGTCTATAAGGCAGTTATGCCTTCTGGGAAGACCATTGCAGTGAAAAAGCTTGCATCTGACAGGGAGGGGAGTAACATTGAGAATAGTTTTCGGGCTGAGATTCTGACTCTTGGAAAGATCAGGCACCGAAACATAGTGAAACTTTACGGCTTTTGCTATCATGAAGGTTCCAACCTGCTTCTTTATGAGTACATGGCTAGGGGTAGCTTGGGAGAGCTGCTTCATGGGCCCTCAAGTAGCTTGGAATGGTCAACTCGGTTCATGGTCGCTCTTGGAGCTGCTGAAGGGCTTGCTTATTTACATCATGACTGCAAACCAAGAATTATTCACCGTGATATAAAGTCAAATAATATTCTACTTGATGATAACTTTGAAGCCCATGTTGGTGATTTTGGTTTGGCGAAAGTAATTGACATGCCTCAGTCCAAATCAATGTCAGCAGTTGCAGGATCATATGGGTATATTGCACCTGGTGAGCCCTTGTTTCATGTTTTAATAAAATTATCGTTCTGTTGTTCATGATAGCTTTATTCCTGTTTAAGGTCGTCTAAATAACTAATTTTCTTCATATTTCTCTGCTTCTGACATTTACTACTGAATGCACTTGGGCACTCTGAACGTGGGAGATAGTTTGGTTAAATAAAAATGTGAAAAAAGTTTTCATTTCTACTATAATATCTTGTTAGCAATATTGACATGCCATCTGCATAGTGTGTCGAACTCATTGGATATTACAGCTAACATTGTGGGCTTACAACTTATTTTTGTTTACTCCTTATTGTAGAGTATGCCTACACAATGAAGGTTACAGAAAAATGTGACATCTATAGCTATGGAGTTGTTCTATTGGAGTTGCTAACTGGAAAAACTCCTGTACAGCCACTAGATCAGGGAGGTGATCTTGTCACTTGGGCAAGACAGTATGTTCGGGAGCATGCATTGACATCTGGGATACTTGATGAACGATTGGATCTTGAAGACCAAAGCATGGTTGCTCACATGATTAATGTCTTGAAAATTGCTCTACTTTGCACGAGTATGTCGCCTTTTGATCGGCCATCAATGCGCGAAGTTGTGTTGATGCTTATTGAGTCTAATGAGAGAGAAGGTAACTTTACTCTGTCTTCGAGTTATGATTTTCCTCTGAAGGATGATGCTTCACAAAAATAGGTGACCATCTTCCCAGATTTTATTAACAGATGATTTTTTTTGGCGCTGATTCTTCCAGATATTATTTGCAACAGCAAATAATTACATCATGTACATTTTTTGATAGGAAAAAATCTTTACATTTTTCTGTTATGGCTTATGGGTTAATTGATGTTACTCTCAAATCCTGTATTTCGTTGCGCAATTAGTATAGTGAAAACAATTCTGTACAGAAAGAAGTCCCCCATACATGTATTTTACATATTCTGATGCGATAAGTTAAACAAGTTCTCCTTGGTGCCAATTACTGTTATTTCTTCTGTCATTAATTAGTTAGCTATATAGCTGAAAAATCGAAATTGTAGCTACGTTTCTCTCTCTCCTTTTATCATAACACATGAAGTTAACACAACTTGCTGATTATGTTGCTATGGTGAAATCGTAATGTCTCTTCAAAGATGAATGCGAGAAGTGATTCTTTAGACACTGCTTTCCGAAATTATCACTCCATGGGCATCATTATAAATTATTGGTGATTAATAGGCCGGAGTTTTTTCCAAAAAGCTTGTAGCTCGATTGACGTTCATGTCCTTTCTTAGATATTTCGAGTCTCCTCTCTCTTTCTCTATATGTATAAAAAGCCTGTACACGAATTGAAGTTTTTGGTCCTTTGGGATATTTGTTAAAAGTTGCTCATTTATTTTTTACTCAATTTATCTGTAGTTTAACAAAAATAACCATCAACCAAGCAAAATTATTGCAATTTCTTGTTATTTTTTGCCAGAAACTTTTATTCAATCGGAAAACTTCCATTACCACTGATACTCCGCATTCCGAGGGGATTTTCCATTACTAATATAGAACCCATCCTCCTTGACCGACTACATGCAATGCTTTTTGCATCTATTCTCGTCTCTTTTTTGCATTAAATGCGTCGATATAAGTTTGCTCTCCATTCGATTGCATATCGCAGAAAAACAGCCTTCTTCTGAACAAGTCGATATCTACTTTAAAGGGAAACACTTGTTTCTGAGACAGATATTTGATTCCGAGGTCTTTGTTTTTGTCCTAGCAGTGAACTATTAATTTTTTTGACGGGTCACCAGGCAAGTCATTAGTAATGTGTAAACATGGTGACAAAACCTTAGAAAAATCTTCTTCAGCTGCAAATGATAAATTGATAATTGACAGGTTATGATATAAAAGGCTGCAAGAACAAGCCGAAAATGATGTCTAGTATTCCTTTCGCAAAATGATGTCTAGTATAAATGCCTTGGAAAAACCAAAAAAAGTTATAGGCTTTCGAATCCATGCATCATGACTTGATTTCTCAACTGGATTTTACTCATTTAACCGAGGCACATTTGATATATCAAGATGAGGCATGTACAATGGATGATTGATTAAGCATGCTGCTTTTTTTGTTTTTTTTCTTTTTCTTTTTTGGCTAGTAGAAAAAACTCAAGATGAGTATTTTTTTTAATCTATCTATTTATTTAAAAATATTTTAATAAGATGAACAGTCTTCAATACCATTAAGTTATTTTGAATTGTTGTACATCAATGAAATAAATTTGATTTCTCAAAGAAAAAGAACTAGATTAGATGCAAGTATAACCATATATATATATATATATATATATATATATATATGCTAATCAATACCTAACGAGTAAACCACAGAAGCAAAACACTGTATTATAAATTAATATTTTGATAGAGCCAATATGCCCACATACTTCTTTTCCAAACAAACTAATTCAAAGACAATGAAATGAGTAATCTATGAAAAATGAACGCATTTGGTACGAGATATGGATACTGAAAATCATTCAGTTTCCCATTTGTATTTTCTCACCCAGTTGGCTTTATCCCAGCTAATAAAAAACCCATCTTCCTTCACCATCCAAAACACAGTTTCATGATTCTCGTCTCTACGAGGTTGAAAAGCATGCCAGGACGCAAAAAATTCTTTCCCATATAGCTCCACAGAAATGCAGCTTTATCTGTGCCGCCCTCCATTTGAAGACTTCACCGTTAACAAGTGAGTGCTTTCCGACATCTATATTTTCGGTGAAGCAGCTAAGTTGCACTGGTTTTGAGTTTTTAGGCAAGGCATTGATAACGTGAACGGTGGGTAGAGGATGGTCATTATGTTCACTTGCTGTTGCACTCCTCAAAAGGCACAGTGGGCCGGGAGAACAAGGAAGAGAGGAAAGTTGATTCAACTAGTCATTACTAATCTGCCTGTGTTGTACTTTTTATAAGACCTCTCAATAATTTATGAAAAAATGGCCAAGTATGTTGTCATTAAAGAGTAGAAGTAAAGAAGTTTAATTTAGGCAATACTATATTAGAATATTTTCTCTTTAATGTTAGAAATATTTTATTTAATGCCATCTTTCTTTATATATATATATATATATATATATATATATTCACTCAATCATATCCATATAATGACCATCGCTTAGATTATCCAGGTTTGTTTTTTGTTACACAACCTCTCAGTAAAAGTGGAGAGAATTATTTTACTTGGCAAAACAAAAATTATTCAATGCCCTCCAATATAAAAATGCAGGATTTGTGGATGGATCGATACCCAAACCCAGTGTAAATTGTGAGGGTTTTCAAACTTAGATTTAATGCAATGCATTCATTAAATCATGACTTCTTAACTCAATTTCCAACGAGCTAGAATCAGGAGCAACTCATGTCATCACTGTACATGAAATTTGGTATGATTTTGAAGGACGATTTACTCAAGAAATTGCATCTTGAGTATATGAATTAAAATGCAGAATTGTCTTATTACAACGAGAAAAGTCAGCTATTTCCATATATTATGGAAAATTAAAAAATGTGTGGGGTGAGTTATAGAATCTGTTGCTTGTTTCAGTTTGTACATGCAGAGCTGCAAGAAAAATGAAGGAGATGCATGAGGAGAAAAAGGTCTTTAACTTTTTTAATGGGCCTCGATGATGCTTACAGAACCATTCGATCTTAAGTATTGAGTGTTGAACCCTTATCGGGGCTTGAAAAGGCCTATGTTGTCGCTGCTCAAGGTGAGAAATAAAGAAGTATTGCTGCAGCCCATACTCCCATTCTTAAGACCACGACTTTATTAGCCAGATCACAGTCAAACCATGGACAAAGAATGGATTAGTGCCATGAACATGAAAGAGAACGTCGAAGTGGAAACCTTTATTGTAGTCATTGCAACAGAACAAACCACACTCGAGAAACCTGATATGCTCTTAATGGTTACCACTTGGCTAGAGAAAGCCATGGGCACGGCGAGCAACATCATCACACAAGATAGACAATGCTTTTGACAACAAGCACAACAAATGCAACATTTGCCAATTTTTTGGGACATCATATGATAGAGCCATAAATAATTTTGATAATAATTAATCTGCTATGGGCCCAATCATGTCTTTGATTCAGCCCATTCTCCTTTGTCCGTGCGTTTCTGCACATTCCGCCTGCTTGGCTCAGTCACAGTCGTTGGAAGCCTAATCCATGGCATATTTGGCACCAGCTCAATCAAGTCAAACAGCCTAGTCTTCGCACTTGACAGCAGCCCAAGTCCAGCAACTGCTCCATCTCTTCGGCTCTCAGCCAGCATCCTCAGCGGACCTATATTCAAATATGGCCTTCTAAATCTTTTTGGGTAAGCTAGAATCATGAATTATGGATAGGACCAACACTAATTCTATGCCTGATATCCACCTAAATCCAATTATTTCTCCGATTCAAATTCCTAATGATGAATGCATTCCTAATAATTTAAGTCTAGAGCAAGTTTTAAGGGTGCTGGATTTTTTTTTTAATTTACTTTCAATTAGTAAATTAACTTGAAATCTTAATTGTGTTCTAATTTTTTGATCTATTTCTTATGTGATACAAGACATATCCTCGAGAAAGTTAATTGAGATGTGTAGAGTGTGAAAATGGTTCATATCATTTGGAATCAACGGATGTTGGGAAAACACTTATGGTAAAGGGACAAAGTGCATCGATTTATCGATTTATGACATTATTGTCTAGGGCATCTACTAATAAGCAAAGTTTCTTTTGTTCCAAAAGTTTCTTTTGTTCCAAATTTATTAGTAACGATTGACTCTTCTATGAATTTTTTTTTATGATGCTTGTTGTAGGGCAAATGAGACTTGGATTGCCTTTTCTAACTCACATAAATAAATCCAAACACAATTTTGATTAATTTTTTTTTATAGTTGGGGCTCTTATCCCTTTCCATCTCATTCACGATCAAATTATTTTTTCACAATTGTTGGTGATCATAGTCGCACCACATAGTTTTTCTAATGAAGCATAAATCGAAACTAGATGTTATCTTCTACTATTTTTTAATTGGGTTCAAATGCAGTTTAATGCGAAAATCAAGATTTTCATATTGGCAATATACTTGAGTTTAACTACTTTGATCCGATGAATTATTATTCTAAGCATGGAATGGACGAGATAGACCAATTATACATATATACCTCAATAGAATGGTGTGGTTGAAAGGAAGGCATCTTTTGAAAGTGGCTAGAGCCTTATGCTTCTGGCCAAGCTGCCGATTAGTTTTTGGGATGAAAGAATTTTGAGTGCAACCTATTTAATCAATCATATGTCACTTTCTACTCCATAGAATAAAAATTCCTATGAAGTTTTATTTGGAACACTACCTAGTTATGATCATTTGCGAGCTCCAGGAGTTTTTGTTATGAATATGTCCATAATAGGCCTTGTGACAAATTTGCCCCCGAAGTAAATTGGGTACTTTTGTGGGATACCCACATAGGCGGAAGAGTTACCGAATCTATGATTTGGAAGGCCATACAATTTATACCTCTTATGATGTTCAATTTTACGAGGACATTTTTTCATTTTCCTTTAAAAAATGAGCCCATTCCAATCAAACCCAAGCTCCTCATTCGTTTGCTCATGCTATCCCATGCATTTTTAAACCCAATGTGCGGGCTAGTTCTAGCCTAGTCCACAACCCTTCTTTATTTATACATGTTGGGCCATCTTTTGTAGCATAGCTCGTAGTTGTTGATTGCCCTTTCGTATGCTTTGGGCTATTTTCTTCGGCTTAGCTTGCTTTTGCGGACACTACATGTGACTAGACTAAATCACTTACGCAATAACTTATTGTTGAAGTTAGCCTTCTCTCTTTGGGGCCTCAACATTTGTCCTCCCACTTGATCTATTTTCTAGTAGGTCTTCATCTCATGATTCTCACGTTGGTCAACCTCGCTTTAGATTCTTCGATCACGCATTTTACTCAAACTAGACACTTACTCAAGCATCTCTTTGGTTTTCATTACACTTTTCCACCTTTCCTCTTGCCTCCCTTAACTTTGCACTCTATTCCTCATTCAACCAATTTGACGATGCATCCTTTATATCGTAATATTTTTTATTCTAATTTTTTTAAAATTCATAATGCTTTTTTAACGACCATGTCTTCTATTGATGAGCCTACATCTTTTTTCCAAGTAGTTAAACATGCTTGGATGTCATGAGTAAAGAAATAGCTGCTTTGGAAGCCAATAACACTTAGACACTTGCACATTGACCTGCTAGCAAACACACCATTGATTCAAAATAGGTATACAAGGTCAAGTTTCACCCCGATGACTTAGTGGAAATATATAAAACTCTTTTTATGGGAAAAGGTTATACTCAAATTGAAGGTGTTGATTTTTATGATGCCTTTCCTCGGTTACCAAACTATTTATAGTTTGTTATCTTCTTTCTATTATCTCTATATGTAATTGAAAACTTCACCAGTTAGATGCCAACAATGCTTCTTATATAGTGATCTTACCAAAGAAGTCTATATAAAGATTCCTTAAGGTCGTGCTAAAAAACAGAGCACCGTGTTTCTTATCTTCGAAGTCTCTTTATGGATTTCGATAAGCCTTCCGCAATTGGTACAAAAAATTTACTCAATCCTTGCAATTGGTTTCCTTTAGTCTTCTTCCGAGCACTCTCTGTTTACTTCTTCTCTCTATGGTGCCTTTATTATGGTTCTTATTTATGTTGATGACATGATCATTACGAGTATTGACATTGTTAAAATTTCTTAGCTCAAACAATATTTGACTTTGGTACACTCAAATATTTTTTAGGCCCTAAAATTGCATGATCCCTAATTGGCATTGTTTTGAATCAATGCAAATATGTTCTTGATAGATTAACCGAGCGTGGTCTTACTAGTTGCAACTTACCAAAAACTTGATCTCTCCACTTTGTGATGATCCTAGCCAATGTCGTCATTTTGTTGGGGTGCTTACTTTATCTCATAATTACCCATCCGGACATTAGTTATGTTGTTCACATTCTGAGTCAATTCATGCATTAGCCACGCCGATCACACTTTGATGTCGCACTTTGAGTTCTTTGTTAACTAAAAAATGCTCATAGCAAGGCATTTACTTTCCTTCTAATAGTTCATTCACATTACGAGGCTATTTTGATGTTGATTAGTTCTACCACTAGATACATAGTTTTTCTTAGCTTTTCTTTGATTTCCTAGTGCTCCAAGAATCAATTTGTTGTCTCTCATTCCACAGACTAAAGTCAAATACGGTGGCCATGACCACCATAGCTAGTGAGATTGTTTGGTTTCTTCTTTTTCTCTCCGATTTGGGAGTTACTCATTCCAATCTTGTTTTCTTATTTTGTGATAATCAAGCTACCCTTTACATTGTTGTCTATCCCTTCTTTCATGATCATACTAAGCATATCGAGATAGGTTGTCATTTTATTCAGCAACATATCCAAGTCAATCTATTCTCACCTCACCCTATCTCTTCTCGCACTCGGTTAGCGGACATCTTCACAAAAGTTTTTGGTCAAGGTTGGTTCCTAGACTTGTTGGACAAGTTGGGAATTTCAAACTTGCATGCTCCAACTTGAGAGGTAGTAAAGAAGTTTAATTTAGACAATACGATATTAGAATATTTTCTCTTTAACGTTAGAAGTATTTTATTTAATGTATATATTCCCTTTCTTTGTAAAGAATAAGATATAATGAAAATTATTCTATGCTTTTCCGTAAACAAGAATTTTTTCAAATCCATTTGAAGTCAATCCTAATGAAGATTCAAAATTCAAAAAAGCAATTTTTTTTAACAATATTTTGAAGGATTATCTCTTTTAGAAGTAACCTATTCAAGTTTTCATAACATAAAAGTGCATATTCTAAATGCATTGAAGATGCACTCTTAAGATGTTATAAAGAAAAACTAGTTGGATACCCGTGCCGCACTGTGGGTAAACAACCATTACATGCATAGGGTTAACTATTCGTATGGTGTAATATAAGTAGAAAGTTTTATTTTTGGTGATTAATATAAATCAAATTTATATATAGTTAATTTCTAACGAAACTAATGACACACACACACACACACACACACACACATATATATATATAACGATTCGTAGTCCATAGAATAAATAGAAAAAAAAAACCACATAAATTGTAGAAATATATTAAAGTCAATAGATTAAAATAAAAACTACAATAAAATTGGTTCCGATAAATTTTGAATAGATAAATATATATATAATAAATAAAACTTGTGAATTTTTTGTTGAACTTATTATTATTTAAAAAAACATTGAGCCAAACCATCTAAAACATACTTTTAGCTCTCTCTCTCTCTCTCTCTCTCTCTCTCTCTCTCTCTCTCTCATATATATATATATATATATATATATATATATATATAGTATATAACACTCACTTTAAAAATACAAAAATAGTTTATTGTATAAATTATAATAATATATTTTTAAAAAATAAAACATTGACGTTCTAAAATTTTATTCCAAAATTCATATATTAAAAAACCAAATTTATTAACAAATAAAATTAAATCAAAAAATTAATTTAATGAGAAATTTAATAAGAAACAAACAATTGAAGAAAAGTTTTTAAACAATACGAATAAAACAATCGGATATGTATGTTAACATCAATGTCAAAGATATAATTAATATTGGCTCAGAGATATTAAATGGACCAATAATATATATGTTTTTTTTTGGTGAAGGGACCAATTATATATGATCGTTTAACCTACACATCACTTGTTAGAGATCCAGTTATGCTATGACAATATGTATATTTTTTTAAGGGTTTCCTTTTACCTCTTGGTGATCCAATCCTAAAACACATCAAGATTTAAAATAATTAGCCTTTTTTTTTTTTTTTGTTCTGTCATGAGATTGGTGGCTAGACTTTTAAAAATATAAAATAAATTATAGGAAGGAAAAAAAGAGCAAGGTCGAGCCCGGTTGGTATATATATTAATTTTTTTAAAAAAAATTGAGTCAAATTAATTTTTTAATTGATTATTATTTTTTTAAAAAAATTAACTAAAATTATTAAAAGGAAAAAAAAAAAGAAGGCAAACGTTGGTTGGGATTACTTGTGCAGGTATGCTTGAGCCTACTTCTTAAGGCCAGCCCCATTAAAAAAAAAAAAAAAAAAAAAAAGAAAAGGAAATGCTTCTTCGAGCCAACCCTTAAAAAAAAAGCTATAGTAAAATGAGCTAGGCCGGTTGCTAGAGCTCGCTTCTCTATGCCGACACTAAAAATAAATAAATAAATAAAATACTACAGTAAATGAACACGGAAAACCATAGTTATTTTAGTCTTTTT